TTTGGCCTAGCAGAACATGGCTATTTATGGACTTTTTTCTGGTCTAGCCGCCGGCAGGGTATAATGCCTATGTTTCAATTCCCTACATTAACAAAAACCGGATCTATGGTGGTGAATCTGGTGAACCGGCTTCCTACGGTATCCACGCTGAATACGCCGAATGCCACGCCGAATGCCACCCCTAATACCGACCCTAATATCACCCCTAATATCACCCCTAATATCACCCCTAATATCACCCCTAATATCAACCCGAATACCACGCCGAATATCAACCCCCCGAATGCCACGCCGAATGCCACCCCCTAATCAAATCTCTATCGCACAGCCGGTCACATCCTATTCAATTTATATGGATAACTACTTTACATCAGTTCCTCTATTCAAAGAACTATGTCAACAGGGGTATGGAGCATGTGGAACCACTCGTCCAAACCAGGTTCCAGCAGTACTAGGCGAGCTTTGAGAGCATTCAAATTCCATACCCTGGAATACCCTGCATGCCATTGAAAAAGAGAATGTTCTCTGTCTTGCCTGGCAAGATAATAATATGGTATTGGCACTAACTACGATTCATTCATTGGACGCAGTTATTGAACGTACTCGTAAATGCCCAGGGGAACTCTCAACCAATGCCAATATTGTTAAGAAAGTCTTTGAAGGTCAACCACAAAAGAAGCTGAAAATCCCATTGATTATAGATGATTATAATCATAATATGAATGGGGTAGACCTAGCAAATCAATACTGGGCAGCATATACTAGCCATAGAGTCACCTATCGAACCTGGCTTCCTATTCTCTACTGGCTTATCGATTCCGCGGCTGTCAATGCATACCGGCTTCAATATATATATATGAAGCAGCAAGGGATTCCGGCAAAGGATCTTCCTTCTCATATAAGCTTTCATGAGAAGCTTTATCAACAGCTCTTTGAATTTGCACCTAAGATTCATGATAATCTTCCTATCAAATGATCAAATCCTGATCTAAATCATCAACGAATTCCTCTTTCAAAACAGCGTGTTTGTGCCTGGTGTCAGTATAAACGAAAGATTGGCCAGCAGGAAGGTAAACAGGCAGGGAGATCAAATTCTGATTGTTCAGGAGGTCAAAATACCCTCTTATGTTTGAAAACTCGATGTTGGGCGGAATTTCATAATATATTCTAATATAGATATATTGGCGCGGATCCTTAATTAGGGTTTATATATTACACTAATACCAACAAATACTCAAAAATACACTGATTATTCAATGGAATCTCGTATAATATACACTAATGAAACCACGCTAATTTTGCAAAAACCTACCCACGAGGGGATATGATATGATAGTTAACTAACTACTTAACTAGTTAACTGACTAAAATGGGGAAGGAGACACTAACTACGGAGTAGCTGTGCAACATCACCTTATGCTGTAAGTCAAGACTGGGGGAAGCGGCTCACTGGGATAGATGGGCTGTAGTGGATGCGCGGGACGTTTGGTGTATTTGCTCTGGAGCTTAGCCCAAGAAGCGATTGGTCAATGCACATACAACGATGTGGAAAACTCTCGGGTCACACCAACGCCGCCACGGGTTTAACGCTAATGCGTGCTCATCCACCAAATCCACGGCCAGAAACTTAACATCCTCCCCGCACTCGGGTTCCCATCCGCTGCATGAATTCCTGTTCGATGGGCTGACATTTGGATTCTCATTGGTAGCTTGCCAATCCTCAGGCTCCCTGCCGAAGTACTCCGTAAAGTGGAGAAGAATCCCGAGCCATGCAACGATAAACTTGGCGCCAAGAATTTGTTCCATCTCAACATAGTTGGCACACCTTACAGACACTAGTATCTATCCCTTATGTGCAGGCAATCTTGCGGGGGGTGTTCACAACCACAATGATTTCCACCTTTAAAAAAAAAATAAGCAACACCAATTTCATAAAAATCACAAAGCCCTAGGGTCACCACCTATATAGCTATTTACCAGTGCTTTCGGTGGGGATTACTGCGTCCATCATCTGTGCAATGGGGCTTCATTTGACTTTGACAGGGATGTCATACGTTATTTCTTTTCATAAATGTGATCATTGAATCCCACGCCCCCCAACTGTGTGCATTAGCTTACCACATGGATTGAAGAATGTCGTGGCTCCCTCTCGTCCCATGGTACTGCAGATGTACGTCCGATAATGTCCTGCAAGCACATCTCTCTCCATGTGTATGAGGCCCATATCAACGAGTACGGTGAAAACGCTTCGGAATGCCTGCAGACACCAGCTCAAGGAGCATGATGAGTTCGTATACTTCTGTAGAGAAAATCTATTCGTCAAGATTTTCACCCCATGCTGATGGGAGATAATATACATTTTGCTATTCGAGGACAATTCGACTACTTTCTTTCAGCTTAGTACTGCTAACTGAGGATATGGGCTCGCAAAACAATTCAAATTATGCCTTGATTGAATCATGGAATTGAAAAATCCGCAATTCATCCTGGCTAACCGATGTGAGTTGCTTCCCAGCGTACCACCAGCCCCGCTGGGGGGTATCAACTTCCCTGCAGGGAGTGTTTCCTTTCACAATACTTTAGTCATTAACCCTTGTTAAGCCATCCAGTTGCTTTTCACAACCCTGCAAAATGAGGGAGAGAGAGAGTAGAATATCAACAAGTAATCTCATTCCTGACTCAGAAGCCATCATGAATAATGTATGGTCTTTGTAATACCAACCAAAAAGAATCAAACAAACAGACCAAAAAAAAAAAAAAAAAAAAAAAGAATGCAGGTACCGAGGTTCAAGCTTCGTCCAATTTTGTGATCTCGAACAACATGCAGAGCTCAATTAGTTGAGCACATGATCTGAGTCTTCTTTCCGGGTGTGAACATCGCTGCAATCCAATTTTCGCTGTTTTGATATGTTAGTTGATGAAGTGAGGAGCACGAACGGCATCTTCAACAGGTCCGTTGAGTCATGGAGTTACTGCTCCGGATCTCGTACCACAACGGTCGGTTCAATTCAATCCACCCGATGTCTCCACCGTTTGACGCCCGTAACAACAATCTTCTTCAATTCTGGGTTAATTGTATTGCATTGTCATGGCCTTCCACCGTCATTAAGATATCCATGCGGTCATATTTGCCAAGTCAAACACTCCCTACAGCTCAGACATAGCCTGTGATTTCAACCTCGGTGTGCAGGACCAGATGTTGACTACCTCAGTGAACCGAGACTATATCCCCCAATTAAATGCCGTTTTAAACGAACTATTCTTATATCTAGTAAAATTTTCTCTTTTGGTTGGAAGCTGGGTATCGGTGAATTAGTGGCTTGGGGTATCAACAGAGGCCTGATGCCAAACTTTCCATGCGTCCAGGTTGGATTAAAATTACGTTCACCAAGCCCTTATCGCCACCAACCCTAGTCATATGTGCGTTAGGAATTCATATCCAGAAATCCATTTCACTGCAGCAGGAGACAGCCTCCTTCAAGTTGCATCGTTTAGTCAAGGGTATGGATCTAGACAAAATCATAAGATCTGCCGCCACCTATAACATCGCTGCGACAACATCTGTCAGGGAACGAAAATTCCGCAGCGGTTAGCACCACAGCCCTAATGTGAAAATCACGGATATATGGGTTAAAACCGTCGGCTGACAGCTTCGGCGATGCACCGGAGCACGCAAGACTCTTCTTCAGTGCTCCCCAATCACCCTGGCCAGCTCGACCACTCTCGCGCTCTTTTGAACTAATACTCTTGCCAAACCGTTTCGCCAAAGTTTAACATCCAAGGCCACCTGTAATCTGTAGTGTGTGGCATGTCCACGGCGTAACCCTAGCTGGGTGATGGATCACTCCACGTATCTGGCACATTCCCAGACCGAATCGATAGAGTATCGAAGGAACCAGATATTACATTCTGGGCTTGAAGTTCCTATGTTGGTGAAAGTATTTAGAACCTGTAAATCTATGAAAGATTTTACCACTTTTTCCCATCTCCCCCCGGACTTTCAATACACATGCGTGAATTGCCAAAACATTGTGAAATGGATTCCTGGGTTTAGCTCAGTGTTGAGGTCACTGACGTTTGCAGCCCCAAAATTTGTTTGGCAACCACTTTTTTCATTTTCTTAATTTCTCTCTCTCTCTCTCTCTCTTTTTTTTTTTTTTTTTTTTTTTTTTTTAATGAGAAGTTTTAGAATGAATAACCGATAACACGTTCCTGAACGTAGCGAAAAGGACGGCCGTTAGAATATCGTAGCTGTCAACTTATCAAAAAGCGAATGCAAGCCACAGCAGCAGTCTTATTCATCCCAGTCCTGAAAACCGGGTCAGAAGAGATTGTGATTGTGATATAGGAGCACTTGACCAAAAATCTGTTTATATTTGGAAAAGAACACAGTCAGCTGGGCCAAGAGGACATCAATTAGTCTCTAATGTTCCAGAATATCAGCGTCACGCATATTTAGACAAACACATCTTAGAATATGCAATATCACTTGAGTAGACAACGTGTTCATCACCAGCTGCGATGCACACTCGTTCATTAAGGACAAGGCGGTCTTCATCGCTCAGACATTGCCAAAAATTTATCTTAACTGCTCTTAACAGGGTGCTAGGTCTATGGCCAACCATTGTAGAGATACCAAGGCAATATCGATCTGGGGAAACTGTCTTTCAAAACAGACAATAAAACAAAAATATGAACAAAAATAAACGTAAAAGTAAAAAAGCGAGGGGCCTTGGGGACCGGCAGTCCAGGGGCCACCCTGAGCAGGCCTTAAAAGTGAGGCAGGCTCCGAGAAAATAGCTTGGTCAAGTGGGTTGCACCCATCAGCTTCACAAAGTATCAAGAAACATGCCCTGAGCGTTGCCGGGGTTTATACCAAACTCAGCACAGAATGTTTGGACGGAGCCGATAAAGGTAAAGTAGGCATTCAAATACACCCAAAATGTCAGTGGCCAAGCTCGGATTTTTCAATCATGCACAGAAGTACATTCCCGTACAAAATGGTCGAAAATCTGGCCACATCTTCCAGGAGAATCCTCTGTACTGTTCATCCAGTCGTCAACAAGCTTTATAAGAAAAAGGTGAAAAAATCAAGCACTGTTTGGGAGGGAGCGATCATGAATCGCTAGTGTAACTGCAAAGCCGCGGCCCGTTTAGCTAACCCTAACCTTATCCAAATCCTAGGTATTTCCAGCTTCAATGAGCTTGCAAGCTGTGACTGGCTTGAAGCTGAAGATTGAAGGACTTTTTGACAAGCCCGAGACTTGCAGGCGGGTGACTAGCTCGGGCGTTCCCTGAGAGGAAATCGCCAGCTAACAGAAACGGCAGCAGAGCAATTACAGCATGGCGGATGTTGATGATGAAAAACATAGAAACTTGAACTGTCTGGAAATAAATGGACTACAAACCGTACATCCATTGGTGATTCCCGTTCCATGATTGAACAGCGTCTGATCCATCATTATGCACTGGGCGTTCAACAGCTTCATCGGCTGTTGCCTGTACAAAACAAACTCTGATGCCCAGCCCTTTGAGACCCCACATGTGCTGCCAGGAGTCAAAGCCACCATATCAACCCACAAGGCGATGGGCTCTGCGCTGGGAAGCCATCGCCTGGGGGTGGCCCTGCTGCGGAGCCGCAGATGGTCCCCACATCTCACACATCTCACACCACCAGTTCAAGGACCCGTTTCATCGTATACAGCTGGAGCCTGGAGGCGGATGAACTTGATTGCGTTGGTGGTGACAAGAGCCACAATCCGCGAAGTCACAGTCTCACAGAGCAAAACTTTTAAGACATTCTGATAAATTGATATATAACTGTTTGCCATCGAGTTCCGGAGCAAAAGCTCTTGGGAACTATGAAGTAATTACTAACTGGTCAGCTAGTTTAGTCAATGAACAGTGTTAGTTAGCTAGCTAGTGAACTGTCGTTCTTAGCTCAGTGAAACTCCTTCGACCCTGAAAACTTGTTTCGGCTTCTGCCTTGGACGCGGATCGAGAGGCGCAAGGCAGCTGCTGTGAGGCTGGAGTTGCGAACAATCGCCATTCCTTCAAGTCAAACCAAAACGGAAAATACAAAAACTGAAAGACGATTCCTCGAAGATTTCAGGTCCAGATAAATTTTCATTTCCTCCACCACCCATTGGCCTCGTCTCCAAAGTGAGGCTGGCAGAGTTGCTCTCTTCGGGCCAATCAGCGTGGGCGGATCAAATCTCGGTGTGTGGAGATGCTTGTGTTGTTGTCTCGGTTTCAACGTCAACCTCCATCCTCAACTCATTTTCTACTCTTCTTCTCTTCTTCGATTGACATTCCTCACCTCATTGATGCTGCTTAGTTTCCTCCTCACGCCGTCGCTGCTCGTTTCGTGCTCACTCGTGTTTCCCTCTCTTTCATCTTTTGCCGCCAAGTTTGCCCTGACCCTCACTCCTCCCACCCCTGAGCCTGTTGTCTTCCCACCTTGATATTTATATTTCATTTGTCCACCGTTGCGTTTAAAAGTTTTGTGCTGGGCGTCGACCTCGTTTGAGCAGATTGTGCTGGTTGCTATCAGTCATTCGCGCGGTAGGTTAACTACGAGTACGAGTTCTCACCGACCGACTTGTACTCCTGATTTTAATGCTGCCTATTGCATCTAATGCTAACTTGTTGAGCCTCACCGCTTCAGCCCTCTGCACGTCGAACTCGTCCAAATCCGTCATTCCCCTTTTTATCTCTCCCATCCTTGCTTATCAACACCGCAATCAGCGACCGATACCCAGCAATGGATGTTGCTCTGGACCCCGGCGTGAACGTCGAGAATCCAGTTGCCCCAGCTCTTCTCCATAATTCATCTTTGATGGAACACTCCCAACCCCGTTCTCCTTTTTCCTCGCAGTCTATCCTGCCTCCGTCACCTCCTTACCAATCTACAACGTCTTCAACTCATATCACATCTGCGCCAGATCGACTGACTCAATCCCAAAGCGGCGAGGATGCTACTCGAGAGCCGCACCCCACGGCCATTGCTTCCATTCCTTCTCCTCATTCAAATCCTCAATCAGCCCCTCACCGGCCCCAGCCCCTTGAAGAGGACCGTATGGATGTTACCATTGATGCTCCACCCCCAGAACCAGAGGAGACCTTTATGATACGGTTCTCCCGGAATCAACTGATGAACACGGAACAATTAGCTCCATCCCCGAAAACATGGAAACCGAACCAACTGGAAGCCCTGATGTTGCCAACGATTCTATACTAGCTGCCGGCTCATCTCCACCAGTTTCAGAGCCACCCATAACAGTAACTACGGATCACAATGTGGCTCGACCTACAGTAACGGGAGTCCCATCCCCTAACAATGATCCTCAAACAGAACTTCCATCGGAACAGCCCTCGTCTCAGGATTTTGCCGATAGCCTTCCCGAACGGAATAGTTCACTAGATGACTCACAAAGTAATTCCCAGGAATCTCCCGTCAGCGGGGAAGAGGAACATGCTTACTGGGCCGATGTTGAGGAGGACATATCGTCCCCTGATGAGGAGGAGATGAAAGAAATCGAGTCTGGCGACGATTACAGTGCCTTGGATTGTAAGTCTTTAAACTGATTACCACTTCCCAAGTCTTGTGAACAAGAATAGCACTCTTTAGGGACTTTCCACATTTCTAACTTGCTCAATGTTATACATTACATATATATAGACGATTACTGGGAAAAGACCTTCTACAGAGAACTTGATGACCCCGAATATAAACCTGCAGAGAAAGCCCGCCTGACATGGAAGTTTAAAGGTGTACGGGGCACCAAGGAAAAACCAAATCGTGCCACTATCATGAGGTCTCCAGCTGCTTTGATCGGCGGTCTTTACTGGACTATAAAGTTTTTCCCCAGGGGTAACAACGTAAACTCTTTGAGCATCTACATTGAGTCATCTGCTACGCCCCCTACACAGGATAAAGATATCCCCGAGACCGAGTTCAGAGTTTTCAAAGGCCCTCCAAATGCCGTATTGAGCGATTTGGTACCAGAGGTCGATTTAACTCTCCCAGCTTCGGCAGACTCCAGTAAAGCTCCATCAGTCTCAGTCTCCGTCTCTCAGAACGACGAGAAACAGGAGCTCTCCTCTGAAGACAACGGTCAACCTACACCCCCGGAGGAGCCAGCAAGTGAGCATCCGAGAAAAGTTTCACAATCCCATCCGCCGAGGGATTGGAGAGTATCGGCTCAAATCGGAGTTATCATATACAACCCCAACGAGCCGCGAACTGCTTGGATGCAGTCCTCATGTCATCAGTTTAACTCCCACAACGTTGATTGGGGCTGGACAACCTTTCATGGGCCCTGGGATCAGATTCACCAACGACATCGTGGCCAAAGGCAAGCGCTGCTCCGAAATGACACTCTCGCTTTTGATGCCTATCTTCGAATTATCGATGATCCCACGCAGTCTCTCTGGTGGCATTCAAGCGATAGCGAGCCTATCTGGGACAGTTTGAACCTAACTGGTTACCGGCCCATGGGTGATTCTATTTTGAAATATAGCTTTGAGGTTGCTGGTTTGGTATCGTGGCTTCTCCTGGCGCCGTTTCGGGAAATTATTCAGGATGTGAACATTTTGGAACATCTCACCACTCCGGGGGTTAAACCAAGACCCCTATGTGAGGCTTTACAAAAGCTTTTACTAGCTCTACGGACGCCACATCCTCCCCAACTTTCAGTTGATACTGATTTCGTCACTCAGACGCTTCGCAATTTGCAAGAATTCTCCAGAGACGTGATGGAATTTTGGGAGAGGTTCCGGCGTTCTCTTGAATTAGAACTGGAAGGAACCGATGCCGTTGCTGAATTGGCAAAAATCTTCGACGGTCAAATGGTGAACTGCGACAACACAATTACAGACCGTATACCTGATAAACCCCTGGACACAGTCAACTATTTCCGAGGAGACTTCAACTCTAAAATTAGCGTTCCTGCGCAAACCTCGGAGAACGTGGAGTCGGGCGTAAAGAAGTATTTGAGCGACAAACCTGGGAAATGGTCTCTACCTGCGGTTCTCCATGTAGAACTAGCTCGCCAGAAATTTGACAAGCCCAGTCGTAACTGGAAACTCATTTCCCGCCGTGTGGGGATAGATGAAGAACTTGATCTCTCAGATTTTGTCGCAGATCCTCGATCTGGAAAATACAGTCTTTACGGGTTTGTTGTCCACAAGGGCAAGCGGACGTCAGGGCAATTCTACAGTATCCTCCGTCCTGCTGGACCGGGATCACGATGGCTTGCTTTTGAAGACGCAGGCGATAACAAAATTGAGTGTCTGACAAGAAAGGCGGCGATCAGCGCTCATGAAGGTATTCCACCTGAGGACGCAAGGGCACGTGATAGGTCTGGACACAATATTGCTGTGGTTGTCATGTATGTACGAAATGACGTACTTCCCCGATTCTTGACCAGAGAAATTGAGCAATGGGATATTCCGGGGACAAGAAAAGCTTATTTGGAACTTGGACATGTGCCATTCGCCTCGGCACCCCCGGTTACCGTTGAGGCATATTCACTCAGTGATCTCTCTCTGGTGAGTAACAGCTTATTTGATGCCTATGATTTGATGGAAACTGCCAGAGCTGTTGGTCAAATCCGATATTTGACCTTGCCGGCAAGTACATCAATCGCAGAGCTAAGGGAGAAGTTGGCAAGGTGGCAGTCGAATGGGGATATACAGGTAAAGTCAAAAGATATCCGCCTGTGGAAGATTGGCCGTCCAAAATCCGGTTTTCCCCCCACCTCGCAGCTCACAACTCTTCCGGATCTTTCTCAATCGCTGGTGTGCTCTGAGATGAAGTCTCTGCGCCTCTGGATGCATATCCTGACTGAAGGTGAGTCCGTGAAGTCGCCATCTATATAGTAACATGAATGTGTTAAGTCCAAACCTTGTAATCCATTCTGACCATTGATATTAGATGATGCAAAGCAATTCGCTGTGTTCAACCCACAACTTCCTGCCAACGTATTTGAAAATGAACATTCTTCTGAAGCAGCCGCAGAAGTAGCGAGCGGGCCAAGCAGCCTCGCCAGCCAAATTCCATTGGAAGAACAGAGCATCCGGGAAACCCAGAATACCGGCATGGCTGATTTAAACCCTCCTGCTGATCCAACGGACAGGGAAGCAAGCACCAGTATTAATTTAACTCCTTCTAACCCGCAACCAGAAGTAGTACAAGTAGCCAATGAAACTGAGACGCCGGACCATGCAAATATGCTTCCCTCTAATAACAACGACAATATCCGACAAGATTCCAATATCCCAATATCAGATGTCCAAATGACCGATGCAGAACCCAGTACGGGGGACATCAGCATTTTGGCTGTCGCAACTGCAGATCCGGTCTCCCAGAGTACCACATCAGAACAGCCGGGCGATTACCACGGAGGCAATGAATCTGGTTCTGCCGACCATGCGACTCCTAGCGCTGAGTATATTTCGACACCAGCTCTTACCCAGGAAGACTCAGTCATGGGAGATACCGCGCCAGAACATCAGACTGTAATTGCCTCCAATGAGAACTCAGAGGCGATTGCTCTAACAGAAAATGCGGAGAACGATATAAATGAAATTGCTCAACTACCATTTGAAGATCTAACACATCAGCTGGTTCCACTGCCTGCTCAAGTATATTATTTTGTCCAAATATTTGACATAGAAAAGCAAGAATTCCGAGTTGCTGGAGTTTTCTTCTCCAAGAGAAGTTCGTCTATCAAAGCTTCTGTCCGTGCCGCTCTTGGATGGCCTGATGATAAACTATTTCATCTTTGGCATCGTGTTGATGGCATATCAATTTTGTCCATCTCCAGTAACGATAGATTCAACAAAATCGTATCTGCCGATCGAGACGGTGAATGTTTCCTTGTCGGGGAGGTATTGCCAAAGTCACAGTATGTAGTTTACTGTTGTTTATTTATTCACTCAAGTTTTTGCCTTACTAACATTGCCATAATGATAGATCCACGGAGATTTCAGGGAGAGGTTCGTTCGCGAATCCAGATCTGCTAGCTCAGTACCTTTGGGCATTATCTCGTCGACATCCAACTCAGTCTCTCACGGGCACGAAAATTGTTGATGCCACTTACAATGGCGAATATTATTCCGGCGACTTCAAAAAGGGATATTATCACGGCAAAGGAACTCACATATCGGATTCTGGTGCTACCTATACTGGTGATTTCGTCTTGGGACAACGTCATGGGAAAGGTGTCATGGAGTTCGCTTCTGGCGATACGTATGACGGAGATTGGTTCGAAGATGAGCGGAATGGGCAGGGAACGTTCATAGAACGCAAGACTGGGAATAAGTACGTCGGTGGCTACCGCGCTGGCAAACGACATGGAAAAGGCATCAGTTACTGGGAAGTCGCAGATGAAGAAATGGACCTTTGCCAAATCTGCTATAGCCAAGATCAGGATGCGCTATTCTACAGTTGTGGACATGTGTGCGCATGCGTCAGTTGCGCCAAACAAGTTGACATATGTCCTATGTGTCGAAAGAAGGTCGCAAATGTCGTGAAGATTTACCGCAGCTAATGTAGGCCCTACTCTCCCGGCCGTTTTATTTTGCCATCTAAAACTCGCCTCTTCTGGATGATGATCTGGATGATTTTCTTTCTTTTCTTTTCCTGGAAATAATAACGTAGCGATTGTTTTGTTTTCATCTCCTCGACCATATTTTTCTTTTCACTTTTTTTTTTCTTTATAAGACCGCGACACCGGCCGTCCCGATCCGCGATGGATTGATTTCAACTTGAGCTTGGTATCTGCCACAGTTTTTTGCTCAACTTTTAACTGTTGGTCCAACAATTGTACGCCATTCACGCCATTCTTCCGAAAGCTACTTTTTAGCGATAATCGTTAGCGAATGTCCTTCCAGCTCCATTTGTTGTGTCGTATCGTCTGGAATTTTGCCACGTCATAAGCTGGATTAAATATGCAGCAATGTCGCTGCGGTTTTGGTTATTATTAATCTTCTGATGCGATCATTTTTGAATGAATTTTACATTCTATACATGCATTTGAGAGAGAGAAACACGATCAAATGTATCTTTTATACCTATAATCATTAGAAACACAGCTAAGAATTATTTTACATCCCTCTATTATCGTTCCTCCCTGCAGCATTGACAAGGCCACCAGAGCTGTGCAAAGCGATGAAAAACAGATCAAAAACTGATAAGTGAATCGTGATGCATATCATATAACGTGTATCAACAGTCAATAATGAAAATACTATAAAGAGATCTGGGAATGGAGTGACAGCAATATCAAAATATAGAATATAGTGTTTAAAAAAAGAAGACGAAAAGAAAGAAAAGAAAGAAAAACAAATGTTGGCATCCCTATTGCTCGGTACAGAATACAGATCTGTAGAATGCCACGCGACCACACCTATTTAAGCAGTGCTGCGCCTGCTAGATACTTACAATAACTAATCCAATCTTCCACCTCCATCAACAAATTAACAAAAAGTATAATATGAAAAACATAATTTGAAAGTTATATAATTTGAGATTAGGCTATGTAAAATTAAACCATAAATACAAAAATCAACTACTCAAATATTGAAAGTAGCAAAAAATTTAGTTCTGATCCCATGCTGCAATGCATAGTCTCACAGCCAGTCTAGTTCAAATATATACTATATAAAAGAAATTTAATGAGATGATTTTAGTATTGTCTCTGAACATAGCTAAAGTATTTAATTGAGTAATTAGAGAACATGATATATATTCTTCACTATAATATATGATGTATTGAGCACAGTTGTCCGCTACAACTGATGAGTATGATGAAGATTTTATTAAATTTAGTTAGTGTAGCCGTAATCTATCAGTATAATAAAATAAGTCAAGTGTCAATATGCATCACCTGTTCAAATTACTTGCAAATATTAGCAATGCAATAAACGCCATAGGCCCCAGGGAGCTTTCCATATTCAGAAATATGTATATACACAAGACAGTGTCAGGCCATAAATTTTGGCAATCCCCACCACAATCATGTTGCCTTTTGATGGCAGAAAAGTAGTGGGGGTTGTCAATACTTATGGCCTGATGTAGTGTTTGACTCCGAATGAAAGATCACTCGGTGCGAATATAAATAGAAACATGGTAATACACTTCGACGAGATGCAGTGTCCAAAAGAAGCCAACAAAATATAAACCCTCATTCTGCTAGAGAACATACAATCGCCAAATCAAGAAAAAAAAAAAATAAACTGTATGGAAACAAACTGCTTTAATCGCAACACTCCACTGGCCGTTTGGTGTAGGATTTGGTTATGGTCAGGAGGATGTCAAATGGAAATTCCGGATGATGGCTTCTGTATTATTTTCGATTGCATCCCTGACAATGTGCAAATGCGCCAAGGCAAAGGCGCAGTCAGAAGATGGAAGGAGGGAAAGAATGGAGCAAGGGCGAAGCAAAAATGACGCAGTTATGAGAGCTGATGGTGAACATACAGAACGAAATCGAAATTAGAGTCAAAACTTCAAAAGGTGTGACAAACGGGGTAATATGAAGTAAAACATCAAAACCTGTTGAATCCAGGCATGAAATTCAAGCAAGGACCAAAATCAGGTAATAAAACAAAGATAAGAGAATGCCAACCGGTTTCTCATTATCTTGAGAAGACCTTAACCACTCCATCACCGCCCCCACTCACAACCCACCGTCCATCTTGACTCCAAACCACGGCGCAGACACCCTCCCCTCGCAAAAGCCGATGGCTGGTAATCTCCTGCACACAACTCCGCTTTTCAAGTGACCAAAAGCGTAAGCTGGCATCATGACCTGCAGACACGAGCTCGCGGCCATCCGGAGATAGGGCGAGAGAGGAGATTGCGGTGGGATGTGCAAGCATTGTATATGTGCATTGGCCTGTGAATAGACGTCAACAATATTCATGTATTAATCCTTGGAAAAGTACGTGAGTTGGTGGCACTGTGCTTACCACTATTGGCATCGAAAAATCGAATATAACGGTCTTCATAGCCACTAATAATCACCCCTTCAACCCCACCACTGGTGCCAGTGGCTCCATGCACGATAGCTTCCTCTTCCGTCAAAGTCCTGTTGGGATCTAGATTGGCAGTTCCGTCAAACCCAATAGTGCTTGCTACTACGGAGTTAACACCAGTCGCACGGGTTCCGTCGTACGTTTCCAAGCTAGCCATTCCAACCACCTCTTCCCCAGATCGCGTGTCGTAGACAATAATGGAGGCATCCGCATAGGAAACAACAAAGTTGACGCCGGCAAGTGACAAAGGGCTGATACTTGTGGAGGAAGGAGAGTCAGGGCGGATGATATGATGAATCAATGTATAGTGAAAAGGAGTTGCACTTGCTGTGCTTGGTTGGGGTGATGAAGAGAAGTTTGAGCCGGAAGATATAGAATTTGCTCTTCGGCTACCACCGACCCTTCGATTTCCAGCTTGTGGGGAGGCGAGTTGTGGTGGAGCACTCACGGCCCATATCAACAGTCTCCCGTCGGAAGCACCCGAAACAAGGACTATTCGATCAGGGCTACCGTAATGGCTACATCGGTCTCCAAAGATAGATCCGGCAGTACCTGGAAGCACGCGCAATGCCCATACTGAATCCGTATGAGTATCTAGAGACGCTTTCGGGTCAACACGGCCCCGTTCCCATACTTTAACGCTGCCATCCTGGCCGCCTGAAAATACCCAGCCGTCTCCAAGGGCTCGACCTCCACTGGAAAAGTTGGGAGCGGGGGGGCATGCTGCAAGGCAGGTGACTGGCCCCAAGTGTCCACGATGAGTAAAGTAGCTTGTGATATCGAGGTCATTATTTGAGCTGCTGCTATTGGGGCCGATGCTGCCATAGGATGCTGGGATAATCCAACGCTTAATTGTCCCGTCATCACCGCATGTGCATATCTCTGGTTCAGACGGGCTTCCGCCACCAGTAAAGATAACCGATCGAACAACATCAAGATGGCCGCGCAACGCGAATCGGACTTTGAAGTTCGGCACATCAACCTTTAACCCACCCAAGGTACCTAGATCGCGAGAATCAGTGGTCCCATCAGCGCGACGCCTTCCTGAACCTTTTCTTCTTTGAGAGCCAGGGCCTCCTCGGGGAGAAGAGTTTGGGAATACAAAATCAGCATTCGGGAAAACATCCGTATCGGGTCGATGATGTGTTCCGCTCGATGTGGTGGTAATATCGACTGGGGTTTCATCAAAGTTCCATCCATCCGCATCATCAGCTTCGGGTTCTATGGAGGTGATGGGTTTAGGTAGGTCAGAGATGGAGACCAGATTTCCATATTCATCAAAGGTATGTGTGATTGATTCCACCTCTTCATGGCCAACAGGAGGATGATCAAAAGATTCCTTTCGACGATCCATGGGAAGGAGATGTGAACGCTGTTGCTCAAATGGCTGCGCTTCAAGTGGATCTTGATGACTCGGATTCAATGCGCGTGGGCCAGCAGGGAAATTCTCGGAATAATTAGGGGTAATGGGTTGATGTACCGAGGGCTCTCGAACCATGTTTACGTGATTATGTTGCTGTTGGTGCTGTTGTTGATGAATTTTCTGCCTTTGCTGGTGTTGACATTGATGTTGCACATATACGTCTTCGAAGGAAGGCCTCTGCATCTGATGATTTTGATACCCGTGGTCTGACATTTCTTGAAGATCTAGCAAGTCCGGAGGAGGACGTGACCCGGGAATTACATGATAGGTAACTTCCTGTGAGCATTTTCCAAGATACACGCGAGACTTTTCACGTTCTGAATCCTGGCGAACATCAGGATTGGACGCATTCTGAGTCCTATTGTCGACGTCAACTTGGCAAGCATCGGATTTTGGTTGTTCTAAGAGACTCATCATCAGATATAATCAGTACTTGATGGGGCCAAAAAATTTTTCAAGAGGTTTAGAGCATACGTTGTGGAAGGGATTTCGGGTCATCTTTGGCGAGATCCTTGGAGTTCTTGCTCGTGTCGACAGCTTCTCCGGTAGATAAGCTCTTGACTTTTTCTCGTTCCCTTTTCAAAGCAGCCTCCAACATTTTAACATGTTTGCTCAAAGTTTCGTACATTCGCTTGCTGGTCCGTGCATCACCCTCTAATCTGGCAATTCTCGACTTCATTTCAGCACGCTCGATCTCCCATGCATTTCGATCTCGTTCGTGTCGGTGCCATTGGGTCTGTAGGAATCGCATTACTCCTATAAGATAGGAATAGAGATTAAAAATCTGGGCAGAAGGAATGAAGGTTGTACGCCAGGTTTATGCAGCCAGACACAAAATCTGGAGCCTCCCCGTCCGTTTCCGTGAATAAATAAGCAGGAAAAGTAAATCTCACCTTGCAACGTGTATTCTGTGCCTTGCACATGGCTCATGTGAATAGCGGCACCATGAACTCCTCCGCTCATTCCCCCATTCCCAGCCATGGCGGATGACGGCTGCCAGGCCATTCAGAAGTAGCGTTCCAGTTCTTCTTCGGTTAAATGTGTTGTGTAAACGGACAATCTCCTCCCTGTGGTTCGTTTGTTTCTACAGATATTTATATATATGTATATAAAACGACGCGGCGAAATTGATTGCCTGGGTGCCCAAGCGTGGAACTTAAGGGGGTTGGAAACATGGAATTGCGCCGCGTCAAAGTGTCAGCGGACAGGGTATGAAGTCGGGGGATGCACCAGCGGACTAGCGGCATATATAGAGAGGAATCAGGCAATGAAGGCGTGATGAGATAGTAATACGTTGTGTATAGTCCGCACTGCGTCGCCCGTCGTCTGTCGTGGTTTTGAAGCCGCCCTGAATGAACAACTCAAAGCTTCTAAACCGATTCAACATACGGAGATACGATAGTCCGGGATTCCGTTCAGTCTTGGCGGTCACGTTAAGGTCCAAAAGGGAATAGCGGCCAGAGCACCCATTTTGGAGGAAACAACAGGAAGAGAATTACAGAGCGCATACAAAGTGTGCCTAGCCGAAATCAGAGAGAGTCTGATCCGTATGTCGGGTACGTAGAAATGCATGCATGCGGTGTCCACATTTACATTTTTACATTCTTAAGGCTGTGGGGTGGTTGGATTCTGGATCTGCAGTTTGCACATTTAGGTAGACTGGCTTTATCGAAAGTATTCAGAACTCAAGTTCTTCAATCTCCATTGCACAATGAACGCATGCCTTTACCCCTATACCCGTCTCCGGGTTATCAACAAGCCTTCTCCATTGATGTACATGTTTGCCGCTGCCAAGATCGTCCCCAAAATGCTCTCCTGACCCTGCTTCTGCCGCAGCCTGCCGGCTTCTTCGGTACGCTTCAACCCTAGTTCGTTTCTTCAGATCGTGCAGTTTCGATTTGAACTTAGCTTCTCTCTGCCGCTTTTTCGCAGCCCCTCGCTTCTCAAACTCAGCGTCCAAAGCCTCAGGTGATCCCCACTTCTTCGGGGAGAACGCATACTGCTCGACTTGGAATCGCAAGTACAGCATCATGTTATTCCATGTTGCTTTATGGGGGTTTGGCCTCTCTAGATGAGGTAGAAGTTCTTCATCTTTTAGTTCAGCTGTTTGACGGGAGGGGCCGGATGGGAAGAAATAATAGAAGTACAGTTAGCAAATATTCTTATGATAATGCGGGCCGAAAAAACCGAGCCAAATCCTTTGCTTACGGTCTGTCAATAGATAATCTTCTTTGGCTTCCGTCTTCGTGAGTAGACTATATTTCTCAGGGAACTTCTCCTTGCAGGGATTGCAAACGGCGCAGCGTAATGTCTCTTCCCATTTCCAGTCGATCTCTATGCTGCCGCACTCTCGACATGATTTCTGCTCTGTCGTATTGAGCACACTTAGCCCTGGTTCGAAGGGTCCTGCCTTGTCTCGCTGTAGTGACCGTAATAGTTGATATCGCTCCCATTCTTTGAATGTCATTTGAGTAGGCTTCTCATCCCTCTCGCCGGAATATAAAACCTTGTTATGGGGATCATCCTCCGCCGTTAAAAATCCACCTTTGGTGTCCGTCATTTTACTCAAGTCGAATTCCACGTACTTAGAAAAGTTACGAGCTGGACGAATCTCATCGAGTGATCGTCCATCTGATTTATTATATCTTGTATCACGGGAGCTCGAACGAGGTTTTGGAGGAGATATCGCTGAAGATGGCCGTTTCTGTCCAGGTGTGGCCGAGCTGCTAGGCAACGAACCAGATCGCACTGCGGCATCTTCTTGTTCCCGGAGTACCTTAGCTTTCATCCGACGTACTTCCTATGTTCTATGTCAGTATCTGTGACTCTCTCATATGCTGGAGCAGACATACAATTCTGCGAAGTTGTTCAGGTGTTAATGGCGTTTGAGTGTTGAAAATGGTAGAGAAACCTGCCTTCGGCGGAGAGTCCGTTTTCTGATGAGCTTCCATGATCGCTGTTACATGGAGGTATCCAGAAGATTTGATAGATAATCTTAATTCTAATTGTTCTATTAATTTCGTTCAATATTAGGCTATGGAATATCACGACAACACCGAGGAAAAGAAATCCTCGAAAGACCTCGTTGAGCAAGCTTTGAATGTGAGATGAAGCGCAAACCTCGGCCGGAAAAACTTTCGGTAAGTTAACTAACTAACTTACAAACCCAAACCCAATCGATAATAAATCCGATGCTTCTTGACCTCCAGAATGCAATTCACAAAGTCGCTCGTTTTACCACCAATGACGACACGTCAATATGCCCTTCGACGCGACAGACAGATCTCATGAGTGCGAATATGTAGATGAGGATATAGATTTCACACCCGGTGATCTCGCTGATGATGATAGAGATGTTGAAATGGACGATGATGCCGATTTCCAGTCTCACTATTCAGAAAAATACTCCTCCTCTACTTCTACATCTAGTCGAGAGGACGAACCCTCGAAGGCGGATGATGAGGGTGTAATGCAACGCTCTCCATTCCCATTCCATTCTTCTCTCCATGGTCCTAATGCATTTGCCCCCCCATTCTACAACCGTCCACCAACGCCGCTACCGCCATCTCCTTCATTAACATCTCTCCTTCGACCGTCCTTTTCTGCAACTACATCGCGCCCCACCACACCAGACAGCTCTGATATTGAAACCCTGAATGACACAGAGGAAGCAGTCGCACGCTCTGCACGTACTGCAATTACTGTACCACCTGCAAGCCCTAAAGTTCCTACATATGAGTACTATGGATTTGTGCTTTATCTCGCTTCCTCACTCACCTTCCGTATGCCTTGTCTTCGCTTCGTGCTCATTTCTACTCCGGGTCATATTACTAATATGCTTGTGATAGTGATATACCTTTTGTGGTCATACCTTCCCTCGCCGTTTCTTCATCAGCTGAGGATTTATTACTATCCAAATCGCTGGTGGTCTCTTGCGATCCCATCTTTCCTTGTAATCACCATTATTTACATTTACATTGCATTATCCGCTTATAATACTGGATATCTTACGCTGCCGATGAGTAGTATCGAAAATATTGTGGATGAAGTAGCAAATATTGCAGTCATTGATAGCAAGGGCAGGAGACGGCCTGGTGGATCTGAGAAGATGAATCCAAATGCTGCAACGGCACAAACAATGAGCCCTCACAAAAGAAGGCTAGAGTGGAAATACATCTGGAATGAAGGAACAGATGCTGTGATGGACATACCCATTGGCGGTGTATGCGAGGTGCTTTATGGCTCGAATGAAACCGACTAGTAAACTCGCGTCTGAACGGTTCAATGCCACCATGTCGAGCACAATACCCTTTCCCTCTGTGAGGTGATTGGTAATATATCTGCCATTCCGTTAACCCAAATCTTCATGGGAGCAGCGCAACAAACCGTTCGACGGGAATCTTGATTGAATAGCCTTCGTCGTTACTCAACGACCCGATCCATCCATTTTTAAGTTTGCCACGGCTAGAACTATGTGCGGTCTCGTTACTTGATTTTTCTGCTAAAAAAAAAAAAAAAAAAAAAAAAAAAAAAAAAAAAAAAAAAATGAAAGGACTGCGAAGGACTATGATTCAAAATGTGAAGTTCAAAAATTGAAACGCTGCTTGCGTAAGTTAGACGATAAGTTAGAGGAGAATTTGATATTAAACGTAACTATCGTCCGCCCTCATCGGAACTATGTTCCATGGTATCATTTCGACATATCCAATTCAACCAGTTTGCTGATGTTTAACAAGAGAATGAGATAGGAGGAGGGATGGATGAGCGGAAATATCCGAGACATCCGCGTGAATCGACACAAGTATTCAAATAACGTTGCTGCACAAACGGATTGCGTACCCCTGTTCGCCTTCGAATCCAAATAACATACATCCAGTTGACATCCTCAGTATTTTTCCATTCGCCGGTATCTTCACTAATTCCCAGCAAATTCTTTCATATGCATTTTTCTCGGCAGTCCTGGACGATCAACGGTTTCAAATCATCGGGTGGGCGGGGATGTATAACATGTAATATGACTTTTCCTAATCATTTCCTTTGCGATTGTTTTCCGTCCCCGCCCTATTTGTGATGGGTATGTGCATCGATGAAAATATTTCTTCACGTTAAACATCATTTGTTAAGCATAGCCGTCATTTTCTGCTGGTGCTCCGCACCAGCGCCTACTCTATGTCCTGAACAATCATCGCTATGAGCGCATCTTATATCCTGTACAAAGACAATATGAATGACCCTCCGCGATGGTTAAAATTCTCTCATCACCAATGGTGTAATCATCAACTAATTGAATAGTACGGAAAGGTCTGTTTTTTTTTTTTTTGTCTCTACAAAGGCGTGAAAAACAAATCATTGCAAATGCAGGAAATTTATATGACAAGAATGTTGCATTCCCGCTGGCAAGCCCCCTAAAAGACTGGATTGGATTTAGAGGCTTGAGGCCTAGGCTGTCAAGTTAGGCACCGAGGCTTCATAGCATCAACTGTGAGGAGTGGATTTATTTTGAGTTGTGATCTTGATTTTAGTTTATATCGTGTATGGACTTGTTTTTCACGCCTCTGTGCTTGGTTATAAAGTAATGTGAGTTTTATTTCGTCCATGCGTCATGTATTGGGAATAAGAAGGCATTGCAAAGGCTGACGTATATATTGGGATTGGCTATGCTCCTCTACTGGGAGATATTGTGCGCCTTCATTTGGTTATGTATGACAAGGGACCATTCAGTCTTAGTAAAACAATATAGCTTGGCGTGGTTGAAATTTCACACAAATCATTCAATAAGGATGTAGAAAGGTAGACAATATACAGAGGCGATGGATGACATCAAGTATAGTAGGAATAGAAATGCAAGGGGGAGCAGCAACAGCAACAATTATAATAAGAATAATGATATGTTGGCATCCCTACCTAGGTATCGTTCGCTAGAATGCCACGTGACCACACCAATCTAAGCAGTGCTGGGCCCGCTAGATAGTTACAATAAACCAACCTTCCACCTCCATCATACATTAATTTAGAGGAAAAGAAATGCCCCACACAGCATGTTCTCAAAGATGAGCTGGGGCAATAAATAATCAAAAGGAAAGGGGTTAGCAAGTGAAGGGCTTAATGCAAAACATACACGAACAGAACATGCCAGTTATTACAGATAATTTTCATAAAATATAGGCTCCAGGGCCCTTTGGAAATGCGGGAGTGAGGGAGGGGGTAGAAATTGCACTTCTTCTTTCATTATCTTGAGTCTCGCGATTAAGCGGGGTGGTATGTCTGCCCAGAGTGTTTAGAATAGGGATCATGTTGATGCTGATTCGGATGGTGATGCTGACGCATTTGATGTAACCCCTGTTGCTGTTGTCCCTGGTTAGGGTGGTCGGCGACAATACTAGAAGGAAACGAAATCCGGCCTTCAGGAGGTTGGTGCAAAGTTGATGGTGGGGTGTAGGATCTCTCAAGACTTGAGCTCTGATGCGAGTTCTGCGGGGAAATAGAGGCATTGCCAGATGTCAGGTGGCCCGGCTGCAAATGCGACCCATTGTGGCTGAATGATACGGTGTTATGTTGATTTCCTGGACCGAGTGAGGAGATATGCTGGGGTAGGTGTTGGTGTCGCTGGTGGTGGTGCTGCTGATGAGATTGCCGTAAGATGGGGTGGTGGGTAGGGGAACTAGGTGGAACAGCGGGCTGCATATGTTCAGAACTTCCACCACCCTGGCCATTTTGCTGGGGATTGGGTCCAAGTTCATGTCCGGCTGAAACATGATGCTGGCGTTGCTTTGGCTGACTTAAGGGGCTTTGAGAAAAGGGTGGGTGTTGCTGGTTTTGGGTTAGGGTTGGAGCTGAAATTTGGAGTGGGGAGGGCGGTTGCATTGGCAGACTTAAAAGGTCAGGATAAGGAGGGTGTTGCTGGGTCTGGGGTAGGATTGGCGCTGAAATTTGGAGTGGGGAAGGCGGATGCTGCTGCTGGGATGTTTGACGAGAGTAAGATATAGGATTGTGACGAAGCTGAGGGGAAGGTTGGTGAAAACCCTGGGATTGTAATGTTAATGGAGAATCGTGCTTTCCAAGGTTTTTATGAGACTGATGCTGAGGTTGGCCTTGGAGCCCCGTGGGTTGGGATTGTTGTACCTGTTGTGATACCTGTGGGTTATATGAGGTACGGTGGTGCTGGTGTGCTTGCTGATGAACATTTGACCCTGCGTTTGTGGTCTGTTGGGCAGCGCTCATATATCCTAGGTTTGATGTTTGCTGAGCTGGCAAACGGGAAATGCCACGGTCGGTAGCTTGAGACAGCTGGCCCCTCGGGTCCAGCCTCGCCATCCAATCCTGGCTAATAGTTCCAGATCCAGCCATGGAACTAACAGAATAGCTGCGATGCTCAGAATAGGAGCGATGCGCGGCGTTTTGTAGTTGATTTCGTGGCGGGTTTTGCGATTGTTGGGGTGGGTATGGAGACCTTTGCGGGGGTTGCCTGCTAGAGTACGCAGACTCTTCGGACTGCGATTGTTCGTATATTGGATTTGATATAGAGTAGGGTTGTGGAGCCTTTGCCTCTAAGTTTTGATCACTGACAAACCTCTTTCGCGAGGGTGGCTCCTCGGAGTCATTTAATATGTTCATAATATTTGACCGTTTAGCAGGCACTTGGCGTGGAGGGTCCAGGAAGACTTGCGCCGGGGTCGAATTTGGACGAGGAATCTCTTTGGTAGGTGACATTGTAGGTGGCGGTTGGTTCATACCTACGAATTGGTTAGGGGGTGGCAGAACTGATTTCAGCGGTTCAACTGTATCATTGCGAAGTAGACTCGCTGGCTCAAACTCTTGTTTCGGGACGCGCTGAATGGGAGATGCGGCTGTCGATGTAGGAATAGCTATGCTCGAACGTCCCGAATGTGTCCGTGTCACCGGGGTAGTCGGGCTGTTTGTCTGGGACTGCTGAAGATATTGCGTTTGAGAAAAGCGGGGAGGTTGGGTTAGTGACTGAGGAGGCCGCAATGTTTCCTGAGTCTCTTTAGGTCGGGGTAGTAGGTCACTATGAGACAAATTTTGGATGTGTAAAGTGGAACCTCTTCCCTGATTCAGCAAAGAATTCCCATCCGGTTGCTGGTTTTGCCTTTGAAGCTCCGGAGACCGAACGCTGAGAGGAGGAATAGGAATTATGGTGAGGTTATCTTTTCTTTCGTCGCTGAAATATCCAGCTCGGGGGCCTTGCTGATTGTGTTGCGTTTGTGGCGGCTGGGGACGAATGGAACGGGGTCGTAACTCGTCGTTTGCTGGTGGTAGTGGAGTTCCGGGAAGGGCTGTTGCTTGAGCGAGGGGGTAAAACCTAGGCTGAGAACGGTTCCCATCGAGTCGCGATCGAGTTTGAGTCCCTTGTGGGTGTGGAGTCGACAGAGTAACGGTTGAGGCGTTTGGTTCGGAGGCCAGAGACGCATCCACTGACTCCGTAGCTTCAGTATTTGGCGCGAGCGGTCGCGAAGAGACAGAAGATGGTGTAGCTTCGTAGCGTCGTTTGGGAGGGATATTTGGAATTGGAAGAGGGCCTGGGGATTCTCCACTTAACCTCTTGGCCTCAGCCATCTCAGCGTATTCCTCCAAAGTTGTTTGTCCAGAGTCAACACGCCTCTGGAAATAATTTTTGACCTTGTCAAAATGTAATGAGTCAGTTGGGAAGCTGTAGCATCTATCATGTTAACGGATCCTTACCATTGTAGGGGTTTTGGTCCTCATATATTGGGAGATAGCTTCGAAATTTTTCCCAAAATGTCTAATAAGGTCTGGAAACTCGCGTTGCTCCGGTACAGACCAGTAGCTTGTGGGCTGGAGAAACCCAGATCTGGTCTCGACAGGTTTTGCCGGTACTTCAGGTTCGACAGCGTCAAAAACATAAACGTTTTCTTTCTCACAGGCATTGGTAGGTTTTCCTTGTTGAGTGAGATGATCTGGAGCAATATCCTTCTGCTCTTCCTTCTTTTTTGTAACCACCAATTCTGGCACCGTATCCGCTAGCCCGTCGGGTTCAATTATTGGTGTCACAGCAATTGGAGTAGTTAGTGAGGATTGCTGTTGTGCCTTTGCTCGTTTACCGCCGCGTCCACCTCCCGCTTTTCCGCCACGTCTGCTGGGAGCCTTCTCTGCTCCGGGATCCGCTGGATCCTTCACGTGGTTTCCTCTTTTTCCCGAACTGGGAGTAGGTGTGCTGTTCTCCGTATCCGGACCAACTTCACCAAAAGTCGGGGCCGCAGCTCGTCGAGGTCGGCCGGTATCAGTGACAGCAGGTGTTTCTGCTTCGTCACCTTCGTCGTCGGGCCGAACACCAAGATCTGACATGAGAGCATTTGATTTTGGATTTCTCGTAGCAGGCGTCCTTTTCCCGCGTTTTCGAACATATTTTCTGTTCAACTTGGCCTTGTACTTGAACTCTTGTTTTGTAAAATAGTAATGATTGATACACGCCTGAAAGTCCCGTCCTGGAAGATATTCCGCAATTTTCCCCCATTTTTTGGGGTGGGCTAAAAATGCCTCTGTGAAAATCTTCTGTTCCTCGGGTGTGAAGTCGTCAGGTGTCGGATGAAATGCGAAAACCTCAAACGCAGTAGCAGGATCTACGGCATGGTTCGTGTCTTTGAAAACGAAAGCTAGTCTCTCTTGTTCTTCGAACATATCCGGGATGAGCGCTTCTTTAGTTATATCTGGCTTCGCAGGCCCTTCCTTTTCACGACGACGTGCTTGCTCTTCTTGGGCAGTAATGGTGGACGCTATCAGCGCATTTTGGAAGTCAAGCTCGCTGTTAAGTTTGTAACCTCTTCTTCCTTCGGTGGTGGCGCTTGGTGTAGTAGCGGTTCCCGAGGCTGACGGTGGAGTGGATGGACCTGGAGTGGTTGTCTTCTCTTGTCTGCTCGTGCGATCAAGTTCTTCCACTGCCATCCTCCAAGGTTTGTAATATTTAGCATACTCTCGTCGTAGTTCCTGATGCTGAAGGGATGTTCTTTTACGCTGCTTCGCTAATTCCTCGCGAAGAGCCTCCTTCAACAGATCGTGCGACCGAATCGTTTCTTGATAAGCTGATATGTCGGAAAAAGGTGTGGGTGGCCCAGATTGGAGAAAAGGAAGGCTTTCGAGCGATGACATTTCGAGGGGAGGGCCAGTGTGCGCTTGGGCAATTGGTGACGAGGGTGGCGGAGCTTCAATATCCTGTGCTTCTCTTGCTGATACGGGAATGACAGCTGGAGGTTGCTCTGGTCTCTCAATTTCAATTGCCGCGTCTGGTAGGTCCATATATGTGGGGACAACCCCCTCAGCGAGGATACCTAACATTTGAATTTGTAGCAGTAAGTCAACTATAACAGGATCCTGAAGAGTTGAGGGTGGCATTTCGGAAGCCAAAGCTTGCATTTCCTTTTCAAATCGTTTCTCCCCCTCGTTGAAGTCTTCTTCATCTAAATCATCTTCCTCATCTGTTTCTTCCCCGCTGGATTGTCCAAACGTTAGGGGGGGCGCGACTCGCTCTGCTATCGGTGGAATTGTGGCAGAAAGCCCCTGTTTTTCCGAGGATGCATCTACAACCACTCCGATAACATTGTTTTCGTCCTGACCGGAAAGACGATCGATCCGCTCAGTAAGTGGCGATAACTTGGAATTTTCTCGATGAGGGAAACCCTCAAGTTCGTGAGATTTATAAACATCAATCACGTTGAACGACCCTCGCTCCTTTTCTTCATATACGTCGCGCTTTATAGGGGATGGAAAATTCATGATGGACGGTCCACGACTCGCATACCCTGGGCGAACCCATTGATTACTAGGTTTAGGTGCGCTCCTTGGAGCATTTGATCTCTGAAGCGCTCGTGGTCCTGTGGGAATACAAGTCAAAGAAATTCGTGGAGACGTCTTCGATCCAGGGGACCTAAATGAAGCGGATGGCGGGACAGGCGGTGAGCCAGACCGGTGGGAGAGTGAAATGCCTCCCATTGATTGCGAGGTAGGTGGAGATCCAGATGAAGAGTTTGGTCGGGGGCTGGCTCGTAATCCCAGAGGCTTAGTGTCCTGGGATGTCGCATCTGCCTGAATTGATGAAGGAATTGCATCCTTTCCACCAGATACACCTGCTAAGGCAGATGGATCACGCATAGTCATGCTCGGGGATCTCGATGATGGTGGAAAGTGCCGTGCTGGGCGAAGTGGTGCCTCAGCTTTCCCCCGAACATCTGGAACATGCTGACGGGGGATTCGGGCGTCGTGTGAGTGTTCAAACTCTAATCTCTCAGATCTTGGTCCAGTAGGCGGTAATACGGGCAAGGAAGAGGACACATCCACATGTTCTTTTTCTGGCTTACTAGTAGTCGGTGTTGTGGAAGCTTCCGCTAAGCCCCTGGCTTGGGTGGATAATGTGGAAGGAACGTCATTGGGGCTTGGGTTGGGACTAATGATGGATCCGAAGGCAGGGACTTCTAGGGCGGATGGGGGAGGAGAATGTTGTGAAATGAGCCGACTTTGTGGCACATCTAAACGGACTGGAGGGCGCTCCTGTCGATCCGACTCCTGCCAAGAATCCTCCGTGCTTTGTGCCGGGAATGTGGGTTTCCTAGTTAACTCATGGATTTCGGGTTGGACAACTTTTTTGGTACTTAGCGTGGATGACGAGGATGGAGTAGGTGAGGCTGGAGGAATGACGGCTGATGTACTTTTAAGTTCGGTTCTGGTTGAGGGTCGATCTTTTCTCCACGAGTCCCGGCGTTCACAAGGCCGTTCGCGTTCTCTATCATCTCGTTCCGAACGCCGATCATCTTCGCGCCTATCAAACCTATCATAGCGTTCAAAATCCCTATCCCTATCGCGATCACGGTCGCGGTCACGTTCACGATCCCTCCATCCATCCCTCGAACGGCTTCTGCGTCGGAAAGAGTCGCGATCGTCCAAAAAGCCCCAGCCCCTCCCCCTCTCACGGTCGCCACGGCCCCGGCCTCGCAGAGACGGACCACAAGGAGCAGATGTATCGTGCACCCCAATTACGGAACCGGTGGGCCCGTCTCTGGAATTTCGGCGTATCCTGGACGCATCAGAATCCCTAGGAGCTGGTTCTCTAGAATCGCGAAAGTCCCGTAGTGGAGGCGACCTTGATCTCCCACGGCCAGAAGGAACGCGGGCATCTCTGGAATCGAAAACACGGTCTCTTCGGGGCCAGTCTCTATCCATATCTCTTCTAAATGAAAGGGCCCCATCGCGCATGTCTCGGGAATCATGATCCCTCTCGCGGTCTCTAAAGTCACCGCGTGCTGGGAAACCCCTGCCTCTAGGACCAGGAGGGACAAAAGACATGCCTCTTGACGAGTCAATTAGAGCTTTTGGGCCACGGGGGGGCTCCCTTCCCAGAGGTGTTGAATTTCCATCGTCGGAAGCACGAGGGCCAGAAGGGATATAGGAGGAGGTTTGAGGTGCGGCGGAGCGACGGTCGATATGCCGATGGGGAGATCGCTCTCGAGGCGGAAAGCGAGACGCCATGTAAGAAACCAACCATCCAACAGCGATCACACGAAAAAATAAAGATGGAAGAGAAAGGCGGGAAACAGTAGAATGACGCTGAATGGAGAGTCCTATTCTTGTCAAATGTTGGAGAACTTCTGGAATCCGAGTTGCTCCTCACGTGATATTCAAGATGAAACCTGCCTATTTTGGGATTAGCGTACGGGTATCGAGCCAAGGATTTATGAATCGGCGGAGAAAGTTTCAGAAGAGGATGAGGATGACGGAGATGATATCTCACCCTTTGGAAAGGCAAATAGAATGGAAGAGGAAGCGGAGGAAGAACTAGATCCTGGAGACTTGCGATGGATAGGATGAAGGTTCAGAGTGGCGATTAGGAAAGCCAGATATTTTGCACCACTCAAAAACAGTAGAAGAATTGAGGGTCCTCAGCAGTCCGGTCCGGAACAACCTAACCCCGATACAAAAATTCGGCATCAATCGACTTGATGACTGCTTCTGCTTTCCCTGACTGAATACTAGTAATTTCAAAGTTTTTCTTTCTTTCTTTTGGTTGCTCGTTATGTTTTGCCTTTACAGTTGTTTATCACCGGGGCCTCTAGGGCGCTAACGGCTGGAGAATTGGTGATAGATATGTTTTGTTCCATCGTCGAACCACCATATGACCGGAGAAGGCTTCACAAGGCGAAGGGTTCCTACTAACCATTCCGAGCTAATTGCACAGCTTATCGACTGGCAGCCCGGACAGAACACTGTATCTTGCAAAGTTTGACACGCACACCATGCCTTTGCAACCTGCAGGGCCTCCCTCCTCGGCCACCCGGTGCAGTGTTTGATGATTCTCAACTCGTTCCAGAGGTTCAAAGCCGGTCACGGGCATTGATTTCAACGAGTATGCCGGAAGAGATATTACAGTTGCAGAACTTGTCGGTGGGATAGCTGGAATGGGGTTCCAGGCCAGTGCCATGGGCGACGCTGTGCAAATAATTAACGATATGGTGAGTACACCTTGCTGTCCCTCACCCCTCTACCCCTCCCCAAACGATTACATCCATCTCCAGCACAGGTGTCACCCAGCAATCACGGGTATGTATATGCCTAACTGGTTGGTTGGCCCTTCGCATTTTAGAAGAACCTGGCGCTATCCAGAAACTGGAGAAAAGACAACTATATTCCTGGGATATACATCCGACCTTATCTCATCCGGTCTCCGAGAGACATTACGATACCTCGTCCAACACAAACACGTCTCTGCCATTGTCACTACTGCAGGCGGAATCGAGGAAGACTTTATTAAATGCCTCGCTCCCACCTATCTTGGCTCCTTTGCGACGCCTGGTCCGTCGCTGCGAGCCAAGGGCCTGGACCGCATCTGCAACACCTGATCGTGCCGAATAACAACTATTGCGCTTTCGAGGACTGGGTGATGCCGATTTTAGACACGATGCTGGAAGAGCAGGAGGCATCCGGTGTTTCGACAATAGAGACCGCGTTCCATTGGACCCCGAGTAAGATCATCCGCCGGCTAGGGAAGGAAATCAACAATGAAAATTCCGTCTACTACTGGGCGTATAAAAATGACATACCCGTCTTCTGCCCTGCGCTAACCGACGGTAGTTTGGGCGACATGATGTATTTCCACACATTCAAGTCCTCGCCGCGACAGCTCCGCATTGGCATTGTGGAAGACGTGAGGAAACTCAACACGATGGCTGTGCGAGCTAAATAGGCAGGGATGATTATTCTGGGCGGCGGCCTGGTAAAGCACCACATTGCCGATGCGTGTCTGATGCGCAACGTCGCGGAGAGCGCGGTGTATATTATCACGGCGCAAGAGTTTGATGGGAGCGACGCTGGTGCGCGGCCGGATGAAACGGTGTCGTGGGGGAAGATCAAACCAGATGCGAACAGCGTGACGGTATTTCTTGTTGTATTACTATTCTACTTCTGCGTCAAATCTTGGCTAGCAATCAATCGGTCTTTATGTATCTCTTTTCCTTTCTTCCTGGTGTTGTTTTTAGCTGACCGTTCGATTTTTCGTTATGAACAGGTATACGAAGAAGCTACAGTAACATTCCCCATTATTGTTGCAGCGACATTTACAAGAGGTGACAAGCGGTGGGGAAATTAGGAGTGTGTGGTTAGATGAATTCCCTATCGATATCTCAAATAAAGTTCTCAGTGATTAGTTGGGCACAGAATCCAGAGCATTGCATTTACCCTCAGAAACCTACTAGTAATACTCTTGCTTGATATGCAAGCAGCAATTGGCAAATTGCTCAGAAACCACCGAGATCGATGACTAAACCGCTATCTGAGAGAAACGGGTAGCATGGATGACACATGAAAGACGCCAGAGGGGTATACGAAGGAAATATTATGGAATAAAACATGAGGATATTCGACGATATAATAAAACTTAAAAATGCAAGTGAATAATAGGAATGAAAACTAAAACCCGGTGAAAAGCAAAAAGAAGGATGAAATCTAACAAATCAAACTTAAATAACGGATGGAAATGCTCTTCTCAACCATGCAGAGCTGTGCCCGGATGAAATTGATCTTGAGGAATATGCAATTCAAAAGTCATAGATGTTCTATTGGTCACATTACTGTGCAATCTCTGCTTCTATCTCTATCACGAGGGCGAGGGGGAAGAGCGGGATTGGGCGATTCGTCAGCACGTGTGTTGCCAGCTCGGTTTGGTGCTAGGTTATTATTATTGAATCCAGAGCTTGAGGATCTTGGTCCAACTATACTGGGGCTGCTGATCCGGGAGCCGCGATACTGCGAATGGTCCGGGGAAAGGGTATATGCTGGATTGCTGGCAGCCTGTTCGTATGTTGGCGGTGGCGCGTCAGAGATGAGGTTGGCCGCCGGGGTCCGGGCTGGCGGGATAAGTGATCGAATTTCGTGTGGTTGGGGTGCACGACGACTGGCGGGCGAGCTTAATTGTTGTTGGCGAAAGTTTGAACTGCTGCTGGGGCGGTGTGTAACTCCCTGAGATTGTGACGATGGAAAACGTGAAGTCTTAATTTGTGCTTGGTTACGTGGAGTTGTACGTCGGTGCTCTTCCTCGTCCTGAAACTGAAGGGCCAAAGCAAGAGCGTAGTCTGCGTCTGTTTGCTCCGTATTGTTAATTTTTTTTCCAATAGTCCCATTTAAGTTATTTCTTTGAGTTGATTCACTTGATGTCGCCAGGTCGTTTTGGGTAGGCTGTTGAAGTAGAGCTACAGGCTGTGGAGAATTTCCAACGGGTTGAAAATCCCCAGAAAAGAAGCTAGAATTAGCTCCGTCGACATCAACCAGGCTTTCCCACACGATATCTTCGTGGCCAGCGTATCCAGCATCGGTTACAAGCGTAAAAAGTTGGTTCGATAGTGGATGTTTGAAGAGTGTAGAGAAATGATCATTTCGAAAGAGAATAGACATAGATCCGGGCTTCAGACATCTCTGGAGATGCTCCAGACCGAAGATACTCAGCTGGGTAGCATTTTCAACGTTAACGAAATGATGGATTGTGTCGATATCTTCTATTAACTTCTCCTCGTCAGCCGTGAGACATTTCCCATGAACGACGCGGTGTTCCAGTTCTTCTTTCCGAAAGTGCAGTAACTGAATATCTTCATGGCTTTGAGCGACACGGTTTAGCGCTGCATATGCTGCAGAGAATGGTTCCGCGAGCCAGCCATGAACTAGCGGTAACTTAAAGCTACCATACAGCATAGTATCAGTGGTCTCGAGAAAGCTCCCAGGTAAATCAGAGATATCGTTTTGCTATAATTTGTTAGGTGGGAAGTCAGAAGCATCAAGAGATCTATAGATGAACACTTACCAAAACCAACCGTGGGTTTACATTCATACCTGTATGTAGCATGACAAGAAAGGAACTCAGGGCCTCGATATCCGGAAGTTTTTCAGCTTTATCTATGTGTGAAGTAATATCATCGAACAGCGCTTGCATTAACAATCCTAACGAAATTTTCTCCCGTAACTGAAGGGCTTTTACAACAGGCGACGGCGAATCCGCGCTGCTCCGCAGTACTAGTCCATTGACGAGGGCCAGAAGGGGGCATGGGCCGTTTTCGGTCTGTACCAAAACGGGAGATTTTCGAGAACTAGTAATCCCATCCGTCCAGTTAATCTGGCGAATATCATAGGTTTCAGATAGCTTTTTCTGCAGTACAGGCATAGGTTGTCCAGATTTGTCTGGATGTGATAGCGGCGGTTGTCGCAGATCAATTGTAGCGTCTGGAGTCGCGGGCTTCGAGGTCGATGAACTCCGCTCATCCGGATTGGATAGAGTCTCATTTGATTGGCCTTCAACATGTGGATCAAATAAACTGTTCATGGGAGGTACATCCGTTTTGGTACTTTCGTTTGGTTTGATTTCTTTTGAAGAACTCGGTTCACTGAAATTGGCCAGCTGAAAATTCTGAATGATCCGATCCGCTCTGTCTAATTGATAATATGGGTCTGATGATTGGATGGTTATAGATGGGGCCGTGTCGGTTAATGGCTCCTTCCCTTTCTCTAGAAGCGGACTCACAGTTTCTATTACTTGCGGGCCAGCTTTAAGGTCACCTTCATAGTGGCAGTACATGTAAGGTATTTGAGAAGATAGCTGTGCAAACTCTCCATCTTCTCCTTGCGATATATGTTGGTGTGTAATGGAATTCCCTATCAGATCAATGAGCGATTTACAATGGTAATCTGCGGGTGTAATGATGGAACATAACATTTGGAACAACCTACCCTCTTGACGGCCATCCGAACTGCTGGATTGTGGAAATTCAAACGGGTCCGGGCCAGAGATGGAACTTTTCCGAGGGCCACCGCCATTTTGCCTAGCCTTCAAAAACGGATTATTTAGACGAAGCTGGCCAAGCCTGGTAGTATGCATCAACCCATCCTGAATAGAAGACCTCATGGAAATTTCGAGTTTCGAATCAAGACTAGAAACAACCTCGTTTTCTTTCTCGGGATCTTCAAGAGAAGAATCCAATATTTGTGCGCCTCTGTCAAACTGGCCGGGCTGGTCCAGAAGCTGACTAGCTAATGCATCAGGCTGCGACGATAGGGCAATGTCTCCAGTAGCCGGATGACATATTGATTCCTGAATACACGCGTTAGATGCTTCATTATTCGCTACAGAGGAGGAGGGTACATAATCTAGGTCTGGCGGGGCAGAGTCGGAGAAGGGTGACTTTGGAACCGGGGTTTGTGACGAAAGAGGGGATGCCGAATTCCAGGGTGGATGCGATAAACGATTATTACCATCCTGGATGTGCTGATCATCTGGATGGTTGGGAGACACCTTTGCCAGGGCCATGGTAAATCACTTGGTGGAAACGTGACAGCGATTCTCGAAGTAAAAGCACATTCTCGTCCTACGAGTTGCCCTGTAGATCGGAGTCAATGGAAGAGACAAGAAAGAAATGTAGGCAATAATTTTCCTTCTTCCATTTGCTAACGGAAGATCCCGGACATAGACTTATTCCCACTTGAAGGCAACTTCCAGGCACATGGCGGATAAGTGTGAAACGCCAGTAGTAAACGTAATGTTGAGGATCGCTGATAAGATCAGAGATTAAGATGTTAGAAAACGGATGATCCGCTAGGATTGGAAGGGCATCAATAGCTAGAGTCCTTTCATCAGCGCAGTTTCTAACGGCGACGTTATGCAGCAATGATGAAGTCGATTGATCCTAACCAAATGTTTTCGGAGGCAACGAGAAATGCGCCTGTCTTGGGTGGGTTTGACGTGTTTGTGTTGTTTGCGTTGTTTGTTCTACTACTCGATATGACGTAACTGTGCCCGGAAGTATATATATCCGATATTTTATTAGAAAAAAATTAAATCTAAATCTAAAATCTAAAATACCCATACCAGCCGCTTTCGCCGCTGTTCTGCTCTATCACCCCGCCCCCAAGACATCCGAAGAAAAATAGGCAAAAAATAATAAAAGGGAATTGGTTATTCTCCGTAATGGCTCTTTATGGTTAGACTACAGCCCGTTGTATAATTTATTTCCTCATTTTGTCTGCAGATGCATTCGACAGTCCAACCCCACGCCTATATTGCGTTAGGGCTGCCGTCAGATACAATCAAGGTCCAGCAAATAATCCCTAATACGTATGTTTTGGGAACCCCGTGAATATATTTCCTTTATTGTTTCGATTCTCAAGGAATCATGCTCCCCTTCCCATCCCACTATGTTCGCGAACTGACTAGCTACTTAGGATAATATCGCTTGGAAAATACGGTTCATTCTTTGCAAACCAGATCATAGGGCGACCTTACCATCTCACCTTCGAGATTCTTGATCAGCCACATGCGGAAGGCAATCATGCGCTTCGTATCGTTCCAGCGGCTGAGTTGCATGCAGAATCATTAATAGCCGATGAGTCTATTCCCGGGGAAGACGAGGATAACGAGGAGTTTCGGCACATTGAAAGCCCCATGCGGACAAACCGAGATACTGTTGATGATAATTCGAGCCAGCTTATGACTATGGATGAAATTGAGGCTTTGAAGGCGGGGACCACACATGCTGGCAGGGAGATCATCAACAAACTTCTCGAGTCCCATTCCGGCCTAGATAAAAAGACTGACTTTTCGCTGGCCAAATACACATTGAGAAAAAGGAAAAAATACCTCAAGCGGTTCTCTGTCCTACCCTTGGATATACCCCTCCTCACTCACTGGATGTTAGAGCAGAAAGATGCCACTAAAGTTTTGGAGCTAAGGGACGAGGTAATCGGGCTCATAGGCTGCTGGGCGAATGTCCATAATGGCGGAAATGCATTCATGGTTTCAGAGGCAACCGAACTGCACCAGGCTAGTCGCTGGCTGATTATTGACGACACTGGAGGCCTGGTTGTGGCAGCCATGGCAGAGCGTATGGGAATACTCTATCCTCATGAGACTTACGTTCGAGACCTAGATGACGATGAGCTCCCCTCACGGCTTCAAACCAAAAAATCCGATGGCCCACAACCGCAAAATTCCAGCCAATATAATCCTGCACAACCAAACAGCGACTCATCTCGGCCCGCTGACATCGCTTCTTCGTCAGCTCGCCGTCAACGCTTTTCCCCGGGGATGTCCTCTAACAATACCACGCTCACTATGATCCACCCCAATGCTCAGCCTAACCTGTCACTTCTCAAGTACTTCTCGTTTGATGTTGGCGACCCATCTCCTTCACACCCCCTTCATACCAATCTCAAAACTTTATCTTGGCTGCAGCTCCTCGACCCTTCCACAGATCCGGTGTATTCCAATGAACCTCCGGTCGCATCAGAAACCGATCTAGCGAATTGGAAACCAAATAAACGTGGCATGTACTATCGCAAACGCCGGCGGTGGAATAAAGTTCGCAGAGTTGTCGACGAAACCCGGGCAGGCGGTTTTGATGGCCTAATAGTTGCAAGTTTAATGGACCCAACATCAATATTGAAGCACACAGTGCCCTTATTATCCGGCTCTGCACCAGTGGTGGTTTACGCACCACACATCGAACCATTAGTGATGCTAGCAGACTTTTACTCTACAGCCCGACGCACTGCGTACATTAGTCTTCTGCGCATCGCTTCTCAAAAGGACCGGGTTTCTAATCATGTCAAAGATCAGGACGGACCGAAGCAAAACGAGGCAACCGCAATCAACGAACGTGATTTCCCAGTTGACCCGACGCTCCTTCTGTCTCCGACCATACAAACATCGCGCGTAAGGCCATGGCAGGTGCTTCCTGGCCGAACACATCCACTAATGACAGGGCGAGGGGGTGCTGAGGGATATGTTTTCCATGCTCTCCGGGCCTTGCCCGCTTTAGGAAAAGTCGAAGCGAGAGGCCATCAGGCAAATAAAAAAAGGAGGACGGAAATCCGGAGCCATCACAGCACGAGAGATGCCACTCCAGCAGCTACCATTATTTCGGACACCCAGAATCAGAGTTAAGAATACGGTAACTGCCTATTTGTACCAATATATCCTCAATCTAAAAGCCAGTAATTTCTGGATGTAACCTTCCACCGCCCACGCATCCGATCTCTCTCGCTGTGCTTAAATTAGCACATTAGAACGCTAGCAGCACTGTTTTTCTTTCATATCTGTAGACGGCTATTTCTTTTCTCTTCTTCTATTTTTTTTAATAAAAAAAGAAAGGAGGGTGGCCGCAAAATACACTTTGAGCTCCGTTTGACGAATGGGAGTTAAAATATGGGGCGAATAGTGACGAGCGGTTGAACAGAATACTAATACTAGTTCAAGGGGAAAATGAGATTTGGGGAAGATAAGGTTCATCAAACCCATGGCACCAATTAGCCCATCCACAACAAGTCATGCTCAACTTGCTTCGCTTGTAGCGTACATCAGGCAGTAGACTAGTACCCGGTGTAGCTTGAAACACTAACCATGTAGGGAGTAAATTAACTTTCTGACAATTCCATTTCGCCCGGTCGATACTAATAATGATAATACAGTAGTTCGGCAATAGGACTAGTTGCTGGCAGCCTTATGGGTAACTCTGTTTTTGAGATAGTTGAGGCTCCTTCAGCCTACGCGGTTAACACCCCATGCTCTCAGCAAGTGTGCAAAACAATAAAATGATATCTACTCCGTAGTTATAGATATAGTTAGCCAAGTTAACTAGATACCAATAAAGTAGCTATGTAACTAGTTATTCAAACTGATGAAGTCAATCTGTAAGGGCGCGAGCCACATAACTACTTTAAACAAGCAAGCCACTCCTCCTCTATTATGTTCCGTAGTTACACATGGAGTTAATCTGCAGTGATGAGAAAGTTACATTGCTTACAGAGGCTTCTGTAACAGTATTTGACTCACACTAGGATTTAAGCTGTAAGCATGTTACTTGCACCAAGTATTTCTGTTCCATTCTTTAAAGCTGCTAGAAGATTTTGAAGGAGCTAATGTATGTGATGTTTAGCTAGAGCTAACCTAAATCTTGAGATGCCTCAAGTGGCTTGGAATGGAGGTATTTGGAAATGGTAAAGTATTAATTTAGAGCTTAAATTATAAGCGTGAGTCAAAACTTCTTCGCTGGGTAACTAGGAATTGATATGGTAAGCTTTCAACTCATGTGTTTAAAGGCTTCATATCTGGCATTAAAACCGCACAGTCTCCGTTCATTTGAGCCCCGACATGGAGATTTTCTATGTTTTTATCATGCGCAAGGCGTCAAGGATTTATTTTTTTTTCACTTTCTAACGAGCTTATTAAGAACTCTATTAATGTGAATAAATGTTGAATAGTTAGTTTAGTTAGTTATATGAGCAAGTCATTTACAGGTTCTTAGTAATTGAATAAATAAACACCAAAGTGACAGTTAAGTACAGAATACAGGGGGGGTATTAAGTTTGAAACCCCCTCCCCCTGGCCGCCGAGATTACACTAACCATATAACGTTAATATCTATATGCTGCTTTTTGCAAAGATCTTTATATTAATATTTTGTATACCATCCTTCTGCCTCTATAACTGCCTTCACTCGATGAGACATTGTAGCAGAAAGATTATATAGAACGCTATCATCAATTGCATTCCATGCCTCCTTCTATTAAAGCTCTTTTTGTAGCTACTGTATCTGATGCATGCTCCAGCTCTGGATGCAGCTTATAGATCTCCTGCTTCAACAGTGCTCAAAGATTCTCTATAGGATTCAAATCTGGAGAATATGGAGGCCAAGGCATGATCTCTATATTCATCTCCTCAAGAACCTCCTTAACTATGTGAGCTGTATGAACCCTGGCTCCATCATGCATGAATATATCCCCCTCTCTCACAAATTCAGGTAAAAAGGCCCTATACATCCTTTATCACTCTTGAAGAAAGGGGTAAATAGTATGATAAAAGTAGCATTCCAACATAACTGGGTTTGGGTTAGTGATATCTTGGCATCACAGGTGTGGCAGGGCGGTGTTGTGGGGTTTCAAACTTAATACCTGACACTGTAGGTAACTATTGATCAAATGACCAAAATGTTAAAGAGAAATTTGTCGCAATGCTAGATGTGTAAGTAAATCACTTTTAAAAAGAAATATTTTTAGCTGTTTATTCATTTAAACTTCACTGCTACTTTAAGGGGTTTATAAATTTAATGGGAAAATATGTTAAACAGTATTAACTGAGATTCACTGTTTTATGAACAACACAATCAGTGTCAACCAGTTAGTTATCAACATTTTTTTATGTAATAATTATGTTCGATATTTAAGGAGTTAAAACGAGTTATGGTAACTAAACATTCTTTGGTCATTGGTGCGGGGATCAGAGTTCTAACTACAGAGTTCTCCGTAGTAATAATCTGGCAACGACTTGAAAACAACGTCCAAATGGACGAGAGATACAAGAGTTGCATTGTCCGGGGCATCCCCACTCAATAATCCGTAGAGAGAGATTCTCAGGAAAAACCAGCTATCCGGCGGATTGGGGTATTACAAACAATCCTCCGGCCCCCTGCTACTGCAGCGGCCAAAACCGTAGTCTGAAGACTAATGCAATACCACCACGCAAACGAAATTGTAGCAATGTCAGTTCCTGCGCAAGAAGGGCCTCCACTTCTGTAAGGCTGGCCAGGAAGCTAGCGGGCAGGGGTTACTAACTGGTGGTGGTCGCTGGCGATCCAGCGACCAATGGACCGCGTGTTGGGGGATTGGGTGGGGTGATTCGTACCTAGTTACCCTCTATAACACCAGAGCTCTGGTGGTGATTGAGCTCTTTTGCCCTAGTGGCCTACCTAGGTAATACCACGGTAGTCAATGCCACATGACCTGACCGGTGACTAAACCTTGGAAGGCTTCCGTGAAGACCTGAGGAACTAAACTCGGCGCCCGGCACCAAGGTAGTAAGTAAACCCTCACCAGCCACGATCTGGCAGAGTTAACCACTTGACCAAAAGGTCATACTTAGGGGGAATGCCTGAACTTGCTCGGTCTTGCAGCATGACAGCTTCTTCTTACATTACAATTAGCCTGCAATTGGCTTACAATTGATCTTTATCGTCTAACAAAGATATGAACAACGCAGAATGTTAGTCTCTAGGAAGTGAAAGTGACAATGTATCACAAAACTACATCTTTTTTGGTTCTTCTATCTTTCTTTCTATATTCTTCACTAATTAGTTACCTAGGTGTATTCATAGGTGGGGCGCCTACCGTTACAGTGGGACAACCAAGTTTGAAGTGGAAGTACTCCGTCGTAGAAGTTAAAGTATAGAAACTTTCTTAGTTGATCAATCGATTAGAAAAGAAATTAGATACTGATGTCTGAACAATATACTAGTGAATATAGAAAGATCGAAGATTCTATATTAATATCTTAGCATATTGGTATTTTCAATACTTTATTATCTTCTATTCTCTATAAAACTATTCATTATTTTCTATACAGTTGTTTTTGACAAGTACTTGTAAAAAGTAACCAAACAGCCCCACACTTTTAGAATAGTAGTTTCTTATCGTCAACATCAGAAGTCAATTACCCCGCCATAACGAATTGGCTTCTTTCATGTTACAAGGGCTAAACTTTAATGTTCAACACAAAAGTTCAAGTTGACCAAATGGTTACTAACTAACTTACTTGTGAGTTTATAATGTAACTAGTAGAAATTTACCTATTAAATATTGCACAGTATTTATAATATGAGATTTACAAAAGCTATTTCATGTGCAATTGTCACTGTTAAAGTTGTGTAATGAAAAAGAAGTGGTTAGTTAGTTTACATTTTGTGACGCGTGGTCTCTCTCGCATTTGTTCACTCATTCAGGGGTCAGATCTGTTGACCCGCCATGGTGGGTAGTAAAGGGAACGAACCAATCTGAGCCCTCAGGTGTCAGATCAGGTGATCATTTTTAACCTTCGGATCCAGAGATCTCTCTATCTCTGTCCTGTCGATAATGGTTCCAGATTGAGTTTCGTTTAAAGTTCACAGCTCACTCAATTCGGCAGCTCTACTACATAGCCTGCATTGTTCCTGGAACACCACTTTGAAACTCCTCACATGCTTATTACCGAGAAGGTGACGGAGTATTGAAGCTACCATATCATCAGAACACAAGCTTACCATGCGTCATTCTGAGGACCGATTTTCTTTACCAGGGTTGGAGAGCGGATGAAATTAAGATACCTTACCCCGCGACTTTTTGGACCTCAAGGTTCCCGAGAAAGCGAGTGGATGAGCAGTAATTCTCCACACGGGTCATCAAGACATTGGCAGCGGTTGATCTCCGACAGGAAAGTTATAAATATCAGCTCCTTCACACTCCGGAATGGATGTCTTACCTCAACATACACTCAGCAAGAGAAAACCCAGCGAAAATCTCCTCCTCAATCAAACATTCAAAAAATCTACGTTCTTTTCCAGAACAACCACTTCGTCATTCAAAATGCTTTTCTCCAAGGTTATCGCTCCTGCTTTCATCCTCCTCGGTGCTGCCTCCGCTGCCCCGGGTGGCCTCGCGCCTGAGAATGCTTCTAAGCGTGATCAACCCTCTCTTGACGAAGCCTTCAATATGTATAATGAAGCTGTCAATGTATTCATGAAAGTTTCTTCCGCGGCGGATTGCGACTGGGCCGGTATGTAAACCCGCATTCCCCCATATAATTTATTCATAGGAGTTCGCACTTATTGACATTTGCCAACAGCCTGTCTCGGCTCACTTTCTGCATCATCCGCCGCCTGCATTGCTGCTGCCGGAGAGTTTGGCTTGGGTAAGTTTAGTTTTGTCTTCTCTCCCTCAAGTTCTCCCATTTTGGCTTGAACTTGACTAACTTGCCCTAGATATTCCCCTGGACCTCGCTTGCGCTGCTACTGCAACCACTAGCGCCACTCAGGCATGCAAGGGCTGCTTGTGGTAAAGGCAGCGATTGTAGCGCCCACTGAAAAACGTCCATTTAGCGACCACGCGATTATATTCTATTGCTGTCATGCATTTCAAGAGAGGTCAACATCTTGTTTTCTGCTACGTTACTTTGTATATACGTTGTCCTTGAATGTAAATATATCTCATTCTGTGTCAAGTTGCTCTTCCCAACTGGGGCGATTGTATATACACCTGGTATGCAAATAAACAAATCATACCCTCTTCTTGCCTCTCACCAGCATCATCATCATCATCATCATCATCATCATCATCATCATCATCATCACTATTCAATTATAGTTGTATACAATCAAAACAATGATATCTATCTCAGTATTTCTCAAGATTTTTCTAGTGAATAAAAGTTATCTAATAGTAGTAAAAGAATTAAGCTTAGAATCAAACAATTCTTAGACTGGCGGAAATCCACTCCTTCTCTTTATCCTTTTTTCTTCCGCTATTCCGCTCTGTTATGCTTTGTTCTTCTACTTCTGCCTCTTCTGCCTCTTCCGCCTCTCTTGGCGACTGCTCCTTTCGTTTATGGGAAGGTATAATATTGGATCACTGGATAAACTCAGCGGACGTCCGACATTTATGAGACCAACTAAATGGTCAAATATTCGATCTTAGTGGATAACCAACTACGAGTACAAGTACTTGATTATTCTCAAATATTCTCGATAAATAGAACAAAAAAAAAAATAACGATCCCAGTTTTTATTTATTTATTTATTTATTTATTTATTTATTTATTTATTGTTGAAGGCTTACACGTAGTTGCTTGTTATTAATGAGTGGGAGCTAGCTAGGTATGCAATACACTATGAGATCACGTGTTTACTTTAGTCACGTGACCGAGGCGGCAAGACATTCATTTTTTTATTTATTTATTTATTTATTTATAAAAAAAAAAAAAAAAAAAAAAAAAATAACCTCTTAGTTATTCGAGACCACGATAGAAAAGTTATCTGTTGTAGTGATAATTACATTGTGGTGAGGCGCACCAACACCTTGGGAGTTATTTAGTCATGGCAGTTCCGGGCGAGCAATCTCATTACATCCGTGGGATGAGGAGGTGCACGTGGTGATCCCCTGGTACTAGATTCGCCCAACTGCGCAACAATAACAACATCCACCTCACATCTAAAGCCCCATTCGGTGCCGCAAGGCACATCCCTGTATGGACAATGTTATTGCTTTTCTTTGGCGGAGACCAATGTCAACTGAATGAACCCGCGTCTTGTACACAGAACAGAAATATATCCAAAAAGGTCCCCTCCGCTGCCGTGTGGGTCCATGTCTCCTATGCAGTGTGCCCGTGGTCTGTGGCATGGACAGACATGGGCAATGATCCGCTTCTCACCTGGACAGATTCTGATCTCTGTGAGAAGGTGTGGCTATTCTATTCTTTTTCTTATTATGCTACTATAGAATCACTGACGCAATCCTGATTCTTACATTCAATATGATTACCGTGGCATTGAATTGAATCCGCCAAACCAGGATTTCTCAGCGGCTCGAGGGAAAAGTCTGGATCATTTTTCAATCAGGTCATTGCTTTTTGCGGCAGGCATATGCTCGACTCGTTGGCTCTCGTTGCTCTTTGAGAAGCTGTCTCCACCGCTTGTTGTCTGAAGAGAATCGCCAATAGACGGATTTTGCAACACTGCATACCAAAAAATTCCCGCTTTCAGTTAGGTGCTTTCACCAGCCTTGTATTTTTAACTTCACCAGCACCGCCCACTTCTTGCTACCTTCTTGTAAAGCCCTGTAATATTGATGCATGCGCCCCAATCTTGCATCAATTGATGCGAGATTGATGTGTGTTCCAATTTGTCATATTGGGTTAAGTGTTTGAAAAATCAAAATCCATAATGTGGATGAAAAATCTGCATCATAAACTTCTAAAAACGAAAATTGAGTAAGTTAGCAAGATGAATACTCTACATAATACCTCACTATATTTAAATAATATTCTCGATAATTTTTTGAATGATCATCATTTATGAATCTGTCAATCTAATATTGAGAAAATTCAGCATTTGAAACTGTATTATTCATCTGAATTCTCATTCTTTCAGTATGATTATGAAATCTTTTCTAACATTTAAAATGACTTGTAAAGTGTTGTTTTTGAAGAAAATGAAAAACTGCTTTGATCTTCTACTTCTGTATAGTTTCTATCATCTCTATCATCTCTATTAAATAATAATAATTCCTTCTCTACACTCAGAATCATATCATTGAGATTGCAATCAAACTGTATAAATCATTTCACAGAACAGAAGTGATTTGAAATTGTATGTTATACAATTAATTTATCTGATTTATATCAAGATCTCAAATAATATGAGCAGTTTAAAACAAAATTTCAAAATTTCTATTGTGATGAACTGAATCTGTCTGTGTGTGAGGGGTGATGACAGTGTGAAGAGTGAATAGTGGAAGATAGTATATAGTGTAATAGAAGATAATAGTAATTATAGTAGTAGTAATGTAGTTGAAGTTGTAGTTGTAGCTAATCGCTGAAGAGGAAAAGAAAGAGAAAGAAGATGTGCGAAATACATGCATCCATATATATATACATATAGAAATAGTGGTAGCGAGAGTATAATTGAAAGAGGTAAAAATAGACGAAGATATAAACAAAGATAATATAATAATAAGGAAATAATAAACGAGTGCATTACACTGTGTGAAATCTCAATCAAGTTCTTTATCATATGAGGAAGAATCAATAGATTCTAAATAAATATAATAAAAGGATATTAAAAACTATGTGGTGATAAACAGATCTTACTCAGACATTCAATGAATGAATAGAGATAATTGATAAATTCAAACAAAAATAAAATCAACATCTGATAAAGAAGAAGTATACTGAGAGTCAAAATCAGCAAATTGCTCACAAGTATTAAAATAATTTAATACAATGTTATTTAATTTGATCAATTTGATTAAAAAAATTTGTTGATGAAAGTAATGATTTTAATGTCTTCTCTGTTTCTACATCTATCAATAAAGGAAGAGTATCTCAAGGATATAAAATCAGAGCTTTAATAACTTCAATGTTATCATCAGTTTTTAATTTATTTCAGAAACTGTAGATGTTCAACAATATTATGAAAAATGAATTTTCTGAGATTTCAAATACTTTAAGATTTTTGAGTTCCGTCAACAATGATATAGAGAATGAACAGCAGTTGAAAATAAAGAAAGATATGAAAAAAATGAAGAAGAGATTGACACAGATATTTGTGAATTGAATGATGTGAATTAAATATATTATTACAAACATTGATTGCTTTGTTGTATGCTACTTTTATAAAAAACCATCATTATATTTAGGTTCTTCAAAGAAATTTGATATATATTATCATTTTTACTGAAATATTCTGTAATACTTCTGTTATAAAACATCACCATTTTTTGTATGAGGAGGTTAGTTTTTCCACGTGATTTGATTGGTTAAAAAACAAGTTATATGGTAATATATATCATAAATACATAAATATATTATCAGAGGTGTAATTTGAAAAGTGTGATTTGATCAAAAAATATGGAATAGATTGTTTAATGTAATCCACAAGTGAGTTAGCCACATAAGTGAGTCGGTCACTTTTCATCATTTTATATCTTTATAATCAAATATAACAACAAACATATAAGAAAAATAGATTAATTATATTAAGAATTATTTATAAATCTGCTTTCACATGTATGAGTAATATGTTCAATAGTACCACATCTACTACATCAAAGTGTTGTATGTTTTCATAATTAAAAGTCAGAAATCTCTATCCTCTCTCTTTTCTTTTCATTGACAATTCATACACAATCTATTTCTTTTTTAACTTGAAAACATCTTTCTGAATTATATATATATTATCTTTCTCTCACTTTCTCTTTTGCTTTTCATTTGCAGCTTTTAGTTCCTTGTTTTTCTTTGCTAAAATAACAGCATTATGCATAGTCATTTGACATTTCTTAATCAGTTAATTCATAGCTTAATTGATTGAATTGAATAAATTTTGTATATGATATTGCATATATTCTTTAATTTTCTTGATCTGAAGATTCACTTGTTATACATTGTATGATGTGGCTGTGATTTAGAAGGTTTGAAAACTATGAGAAGTTTCTGAAGAGTTGAATATATATATTTAAATATTAAAATATAAGAGAATTTGCTTTGAATTGTATGAAATTAACTTTGTAGTTTTGAAACCACTTTTAATGTTGTTCTCATTCAGAGCTTTCATATGAGCTGCTGAATATAGAGTCAAAAACTTTTTCTTATTAATGTAATTAATATCAAACTGCATTTGCTCTTTCATCTGTTGTTTGTACATCTTCTTTAGAAAAGAGAAATAGCTAACATTTAAAGATTGAAGAAGATGAAATGAATGTGATGGTATATAAAAAGTAATAATATTGTTTTCAAAGCAGAATTGATCAAATTCAGCTGAAATATGACTTTCATATTCATTAAGAATCAAGAATTGATAATTGCTCTTTGTATAAAATTGAATATTTTTATTAAATATCTTCTTAAGTAAAATTAATCCTAGTTTATCATTTGTTTATTCATTCTCACTGAATTCAATCATTTAGTCCTGTGGCAGCTTTTCAGTCTCATATCAGCAGAATTGATGCATCTTTCTTTTCAGAATAATCATTGTATATAAAATTCAATCAATTGCATTGACTTCTGCAATAACAGTAGCTTATTCTTGATTTTCAGACTGTATAAACTTGAAATTATCAACTCTTTCTGATTCAGTAACCACTTTGATTGTTTCAATAACACTCATTTGAAACTCAGTCTCATCAAAATTGTATATATCTTCGTGTGCAATTCTAGACTTTGCAATGATATTTCATATGAGGTTGAACCATTCATGAATTATCTCAGAATCTTCACACAGAGCTCACTGATGATCATACTTTTAAAAGAATATGGATTTTAATTCATTATAATGATTGGCAAAGTTTTGTACTCAGTTGACATCAATTGTTGATGGAGGCTTGAATTCAGATTTGATTTTTCATTCAAAAAGAAGTAAATTGATCATATTTTATACAGTCTCAATCTGCAATGATTTCCCTCATGCAGTCATGAATAGAATTCATTGAATAAAAGATTCTTTCTCTGTAAAACTGAGTTTTCAGTTCTTTGATGAAGTATCAACATGTGTTGAATGATCATGTATACAATCAGTCAGAGTAGAGTGTGGAACATCATAGGGCTTTGCTGCAGCTCATTATTATCAAATGCTTGAATAGTTAAAAGAAGTCTTCCTTCTTGAAAGGAAGCTTGATGACTTTGCATTGTTGATATTTTAATTATTATGTTTGATAGCACAGTGAGATGATGAAAAGTGGCCGATTCGCTTGTGGATTACGTTAATATTAAGAATCATTGTAATTACTGTAGTTAACTTAATCAGATTCATCACTACTGCTGTCATTACTACTGCTCTCATCACTAGTGCTCATCCTTACAACTACCCACGAACGTAGGGGTACATTTGAATTTTCCACTTTTCCAACTGTTTTTCGTATAATTTTAACCCTCCAACCCGTTCAATATCATCGCACGCCCTCTGCGATCTCTCTACGTGTGTGTACTGCACAGGTTGAGTGGTCATGGAGCCCTCAACGCCCTCCCGTCCGCCCAAGGACATCGAAACGGCCTACACCAGGCCACTGGAGCCGGAGTCACCGGCCAATTTTGTCGCTGGAAAGGCTGGCAAGAGGCAGAGGAAGACTGTCACAATGCCTCCCCCAGTCCTCAAAGGAGCCAGCGACAGCATCCCCACGGCCACCTCTCGGCTGCAGAAGCAGTTTGAGGAGGCTCAACAGCAACAGAAACTGCAGCAGAAGGCTCTCATCAGATTGGCGAAGACTCTGGACAGCTGGGTTGAGGAGGAGAAGCAGCCAGCCAGTCAGAACTTTGCCCGAATCTTCTGTGAGAGGTTTGTCAAGTATGTGACAGCAGATCTGAGTGCAGCATCAATTCTGAGAGGGGGTGCTGCCCCGGGTACTCATCCGCAGCCAAATGCAGCAAAGACAGCTGCGAGGGAGCCGACTACCTGGGCGGGTGTTGCTCAGAGGGGGAAAAACTCTGCCCTCCCTGGGGTTGCCCCTGCCAAGACTGCGGCTTCCTCGGCAGGCAGGGCTAGTGGAGCTAGCCTGCAGCCCAAAAGCGCCAGTCAGCCAGGGGGCCCCACAGGGGGCACAAAACAGCAGGAGGACCCACGAGTCCTCGTCACCCTCCAGCCAGAGAAACGGGTCGCCCGGCTACAGCCATATGCTGTGCGGCAGGCAATCGCTGCAAACATTCAGGGGGTGGGGGATGTGGCCAATGTGCCGAAGGTGGAGCCCACCAGGACAGGTTGGGCGATCACACCAAGCGACAGAGGCATACGCGACGCTCTGACCACTGAGAAGGCAGTGGCTACTCTCTGTGAAGTCCTTGGCGCCACGGAGATCCGGCTACCAGAGCGGTGGTACAATTATGCTGTCCCAGGGGTCCCAGAATTTGTCCAGGACTGGGAAGGGGCAAGAATCCCCACAGACAAGATGGTCGAGGGAGAGGTTCTGGCTCAGGCAAAGGTAAAGCCAGTGAGCTGTCGACCCTCGCGTCATGGGGTGAACCCCAAGACAGGGAAGATTACATGGATTGTCTCCTTCCTTGCCCCGGTAAAAGGCTTCTCACTCTTCAATGCCAGTGAGAGGGCCAGGCTGATTGAGAAAAGGCCTTTGGCAGTGAGACATAACCCAGGATGCCAGGGGTTCTGCCACCCACCAAAGTGTGCGCGACTGGCAAGATGCTTCAACTGCAGTGAGCCCACAAGCCAGCATGAGGGGCCAACAGGCGCGGCCACACTACTCAGAGGGATGCGGGACAGACCCCACAGAGGGTGTAGACAAAAAGAGTGCTGCTCAGGCATTCAAGGAATGGTGGAGAAGTCAACCCTCAACAGATCTATATGTTTTCTCAGATGGATCAGAACGGAGCCTTGACAACAGCAGGCAGGTGGGCTATGGCTTCATAGTCTATCAGGGAAATAAACAGCTGGCCAGCTTCTCAGCTGCGCTGAGCCCTATGTCACATGTCTTCGACGCTGAGGCAGTTAGTGCCTGCCAGGCATTAGAGTGCGCTGTGAAGCTCCTACCTTGTGTCACAGAGGACAGCAGCAACCCTCAGATCTGGCTCTGCCTCGACAACACCTCAGTCATCTGGGGCATACGGGGCAGTGCAGCAGCCTCCTCAAACTGGGCCTACAACCGCTGCCATGAGCTCCTCAGACAGCACAATGTTGGCCTGAAGTGGGCTCCTGGGCATATGGGGATAGAGGGCAATGAGGAAGCAGACCGCTTGGCTAAGCGGGCAGTCTCATCCACTGCAGCCCCAGCCTATGGTCTCGAGGCCACACCCACAGTCAGTGGGGTCCGCACAGTGGCCAAGCAGCTCAGCCAAGAGGCAAGGCGAAAGTGGTGGAGTGGAGCCTGTGGCAAGCTCTCTGACTGGTACCGGGGCTGGAGTTTCAGCAGGCCGACTGTGGAATACCAAGTGAAGGCCCCTCCGGAGCTCACCATGCCACGGCATGCCCTTCACCGCTGGCTCGCACTCCGCTCCTCTCATGGGGACTTCTCCTGGTACCACAGGCGTTTCCAGCATGCAGATGCGAGGCTCACCTGTGTCTGTGGACACAACAAGAGCCCAGAACATTTGGTGCTCTGTCGACACTCACAGAGGCACTTTCTTCACTGGCCCAAGAGGCCAGCAGCACGGCCACACAACCGGGCGACAGCTGTTGCCTATCTAGGGTCTCTGACCCCTACAGACTTTGTAGAACTGCTGGACTGCACGCAGTTCTACACACGGTACTGCACAAGGTAACGCAGCCGGCTGGCTGCAAACCATCTGACAACCCCCGCAGCAGTTCCACGAGGCCGGCCTGCTGAGTACACCCACGGTAGCTAGTGCAACTGCCAGGGACATCACAGTCTATGCAGACAGTACAGATAGCACAACTAGGCTCATCTGTCTCAATTAGCTGTGGTGTAATCAGTACAGCCTACGTGTCTGACTCAGCTGATATGGTTTTGACTGCCGGCATTGTATCTACGCGTGCTCTGCTTTGTTTTCCTCTCGTTTGCCCTTGTCTCTATCGGCTCAAATGCTTCTTCTTCCTTCTTTTCTTTGCTCTCTCTGTCATTCTCTGCTCTTTTCCTGTCACAACCTTCTTCAGTGCTCTCTCCTTCATTATTTATCTTGTCTGTCTTTCTTCTGATGTTAGAAGCACAGACAGCTTTCTGATCAACTGAGAGAGGTATCCCTCTCTGCTCACTATAAAGCCTTCCAGGCACGGCAGCGGCGGTCCCCTCAGGGAACCACACTATAGCCCCACCATGAATGGCCATACGTCGGGCCAGAAGTGGATGCGCAGCTCAGAAAAATCCTTTGCAATGAGCTGAGTCTTCTCAAGAGTTGCCACCTGGATTCTGTTTTCTCTCTCTGTGTACATAGAAATCTCTCCAGCGTAGCACGTCTCCATGCCCTTCGGGAGGCTTCTGAAACACGGGCGCTGCCCGTGTTTTCTCCGGGACGTTAAACCTATACATACATACATACATCATCACTAGTGCTGTCATCACTATCATCATTACTATTTTTAAAATCACATTTCTGCATTCATTGCCAATCTTCTTTATCCATTCTCAGCCCCGGTGGCCGAATGGGTAATGCGGCCACCAGATAGCGCCTTGGTGTGGGGACCTAAGGCGCGTGGGTTTGAAACCCACAAGGGGACAACATTACATCCAGAGCCAACTTCTCAGCTTCTAAAATAAAGGAAATGTAAACCTGCCAAGTAGATATCTTCAGGTGAACCTACTACCTGATTTAACTTATTATTTCTGAGCTGAAAACCTGTATTGTGAGTATCAAATTCTGTTTCTCATTAATTTTTCTATGTTTCTGTTATATTTTTGATATCATTTAACAGTAAGCATTCCTTCTGTATAACCAACTATTGCCTGTATTTAACATTACATAAGGACTCGTCATAAGCACTGCTTGCATACGAGTATATAACGGAATAATAATAATAATAATAATAACTAACAGTATTAAGAGATTGTAATGAGACAGAGTGATTGAAAGCCATGATTGTCTATTTGAAAGATGAAAGTGTATTGAATGATAAATGTCTGATGAAGGTGATAGAAGAGATGCTTTCTTTATAAAATTAAAAAAGAATATTATACTTTACTGCAATCTTGATTATATTGAGATATTATATTTTGAGTCTTTATTTCAACAAGATCTGATAAGTCATATGCATAAGAAATTCAATCATTTAAAAAGTTCAGAGCTTTTATATACTTTGAAAAACTGAGTATATTGATTGAATATGAAAAAAGATATTCAGACATACATACAAAAATGTCTGAGTATTAAATTGCAAAGAATGTAAGATAAGAACTATAGTGTGAGAGAGCACAATATCAAATAAAAAATACAATTAAATTATTTGAATGTTAAAAGATAGATTTTATAGAAATATTATCACAGACATCAAATGAAAACTGTTGAATAATAATGACAATTGATTATATCACAAAGTGGCTGATTGCATAAGTGATGTCAGAGGCAATAAAGGAAATCATCACTAAGTTTTTATATAATGATATTTATATTAATTATGATATGTTTTATGAGATATTGATAGATAATGAGGTAAACTTTGTAGAAGGAGCTGTGAGGCATTTCATCAACCAGTTACAGATGAAACATTGCAGAACAACATTTTATCATTCTCATACAAATAAAAAAGTTGAATATTTAAATGAAATACTGAGCAACATATTGATGAAATACTTAGTGAGGAAATTCATAAGATTGTGGAATGAATATCTAGAACAAACATTATTTGCAATTTGAATTTATCAATATGCAGTTTTAAAGCATTCATCATTTTATCTGCTCTATAAAATATATCTGTGTATACTGAGGAATACACAGAAGCAAATGAAGAAGGAAGTGATGATTGTAAATGTGAAATTAAAAATAAAAAAAATTAATCATATTTGAGTAAAAGCAAATGAACGACTGCTTGACTGCACAATATAATTGAAAAGAATATGAGAGTTACTAGTTATGAAAATGAGTTTTACAGTGATCATTTGAATTCTTATACACAATAAAAGATCTGAGAAGTTTCAATCAAGATGGTTTAAGCTGTATAATATTCTCAAATCACATGCTTTTGAAATATACTATGGCGTACGCCGTTCAATTGGTAGGATAATTCATGTCTGAGTTTCTCTAATCTAGAAGGGTGGGCGAACGCCCCTATATATATACGTAGTCATCCCGTCAGCGATCCAATCCAGAGGAAGGAGCGATCGCAGCATACGGGAAGAATAGGAGGAATAATAATGCAGGGGTGGAAGGAGCAGGGCGGAAGGGAGACTAGGGGCGGAACGCCACATATACACTTTGAAAAAATCAGAGAAATGGATTCTACACAATTTTATAAATGACTCTCATTTTATGAAAATGAAGATGAAGGATTCAAATAAGCTGTGATCATCAGTAGCATTATTATCAGCAGTGAAGAAAAGAGAGTTTATGATAAAAAAGCTCTAAGAAGTTAGAGAAATCATCAATGCTTATGAATCAGATGATATCATTTATTCAGACCTCTCTATCATAATCAAAAAAAAAAAAAAAAAAAAAAAAAAAAAAAAAAATGAAAGAAAATGTAAAAAGCAAGTATACAGTATACATTGATAAGTGACAGGATCATCACTAACTGTACAATATTACAATGCAGACAGCAGATGCAATGCAGCTGAGGTTGAGTTTGAAATGACTGATCAGTATATAAATCAGATCACAAAAAGTAAAGAGATTCTGATGAGAATTTGACTGTCTATACTAGCTCAATCATGATGATTTCAGATGATGAATTATCAAAAATATTAGCAGATACACTGAATCAAACCATTTTGACATTTGAGAACATTCAGAGATCAGATGAGGTTAATTTTGATGAATCATTCACTGTAATTATTTGAATTTGTGAAGAGGAGCAGTATAATACATGAAGGCAGAACACTCTCATTGAAAAATATGAGATCTACCACATCTAGTTGTCAAGTGTAGAACTGATAAAAGATTATGTGAGTTGATGACAAATAAGAAAAAAGGAAAGGGAAAAAGAAAGTCAGCGAAAAAGATCTATTCACACGCAGTCTAATGACCGCCGCAAGGGCTTCACCCGATTTCTAAAAATAAGCCGAAATTACCACAATTGAACTGCATCTGTTTCCTTGTTATTTCACACCCACATAGCTTCTTATAAGCTTCTATTATGGCAAAGGATTCAGTATATGCAGAATCTTCATACAGATATATTCCCTCTTCAGATGAAATTCTTTAATTATTGCTATTTAACAGTTTTTTAATTTCATTTTCAATCTTGCTTTATTAAAATAAAAATCAATCATTATACCTGTTCATCATAATATCATATACTGAAAATAAAAAATCATCTGATGTGATAATTCTCTGGAACTTAATATTATATTGATATTTATGACTGAAATAGAACATACACTGATTGATTATAGAATAGATAATTGATTGTAAAATTTCATTAATATACTTTTATATCATATCCTCTCTTCTACACACCTCTATATATTAATAATAGAATTTCAATTGATTCAAAGTCATTCAATAAAGATCTCAATGAAGAAAGTCTTTAAATTGATCACTGAGATGTTGTAAAATGTCATTGAAAATAGAGTAGAGAAATGCAGATAAGCAGTCAAATAATTGAATAAAATCTAAATATTGATATAAATATGATAAATACACAAGAACAATGCAAAATGTTAATTTCTGAGATAATTGATATTATACTGATCATTCAATTGATTATAGATTTAAATAGAGAAGAATCAACTGTATTTCAATCTTTATAAAATAAAATTTGATGATGATAAGTTTCTCTGACATTGCATCAAGATTGAATTCAAACTGCATCATTGAAATAAATGATTGATATCAATATTCAGAGTAGTTGACATTCTTCTGCTCATTCTTGAGATGTAATAAAAGCTTTTGAATATTATCCACTGCATCGGCGGTGAGCAGGATTATATTGACAGCAGCAGCAGCAACTTGACAGCAACTTGATATATTCATATTCTTTTGACATTTTCAATGAAGAATATGACTGCTTCTACATCACAAGAATTATTATAATCATACAATAATAATCATTCATTTGAAGCCCCACAGACAAGATTTTCATCAAATTAAAATATACTCATCTCATTTCTATAATACATCAATATTTGATTTTACAAGTCCTTCAGAAAGTGCAATTTAATCATTACATGGTGGTTATTAAAATCCACTGCGTACTTGGCAACTAAGCAGTAATTGGATTATTGGTGCGTGCAAGCAGTTGGTGCACACAGCGTTGCAAAATCCGTCTAATGAACAAATAACACAGATTCACAGGGCAAGAAGTGATGCCGATGGCAGGTTTTGATTGTGATTGTGATTGTTATTCTCCTACATGATGCAATCATAGTTAATTTCCCCCTACTGCTCGGCCTCTAGTAGATCCCTTCACCGTGCGTGTTGAACCCCTTTGTCTGGAGGGTGGTCTCAAGAAACCACTGCCTTACCTTTCTGGCCCCCCACTCCCACCCAAGTCTTATAAGACCAAATAATGATAATAATAACAGCTATCCCAGATCCCGCGGACCCTTAGCATTATGACTTGACAGCTCCAGGAATGCACGGGCTGGCAACGTGCACTGTCATTGGCACTTGTTAACTGCGGTCTTGTTGTAAGCTTCTCACCTGCGCACAATCATGAAGGAGCTCGTCGTCCCGCTCCTCTAAAATGTGATATATATATATGTGCTGAGGTTCTGAAGAAAATTATATTTTCCTATATCATTTCTGTCAACTTCAAGTTTGTTAAATCTCTATGCTCGCTCGGTTGAACAATCTTTTACTCGCGACCTCGAAGAAATGACTGTTGGCTACCTTCATTCTCCCTACCCGCAATCCCAGTCTTGCCGTTCAAGATGGTCCTGTCAATAATCCGCGCGAGCTGGCAGTGTTATACTGCGCTCGAGAGGCGCAATATAGCCCTCTACATCCTGGGCATTATGCTCTACAAATTCGGGCTGGAGGCTTTCAATGGATCCATTGTCTCTCTGGCCACCAACAGATATGACTATGACGCGCTGGTCTCTAACTCGACTCCCAAAACCTTTGAACGAGTCGGGCTCCTTACTGGACTTAACCAAGCCTTCCAGTGCATAGGCGCCATCCTTATAGCACCCCTCGTCCGGAGAGCTCCCACAAAATTAGTCTTGGCAATCTCCGTTCTCGTTTTTGGTCTCTTCACCGCACTGCTCCTGATCGTGGATGCCAGTACCGGAGGGAAATTCATGCCCAAGGGTTTCCAGCATAGCCATCCCAGGAACGATTTTTCCTACTATGGCAAGTACAACACAGACGGGTTAATTCCCATCTACTCAGTTACTGGTATCGCCTACGGGATGGTAGAACTGATCCGTCGTGTCATTCCAAGAGATATCGTCGGAGGAAATGTCCAGAAACTTCGTCGGCTAGATGCATTAGTTCACATCTTTTATGAAATTGCTGGAACTGGCGGCGCATTCTGCACAGCCCTGGCCCTAATCCCGAATCTAGGAAACAACTATTCTTTCATAATCACCCCCGTTTGTTTTGCCATGGCCGCCTGTACATGGTACTCTATAACCAACCTGGACTTCAAGCCTCAAGCACAAGAAGTGCTTTCCGAACATCCTGCATACGTCAAATCAATCGTCGGGTCATTTCTACTCTTCTTCGAATCATTCTGGACGGGCGGCAAGCTCATATTCACAAATCGGCGGTTCATCTGGCTGTTGCCCGGATACGCCATTGCGTTGTATGGCCACCGCTACCTGGAAAATGGGATAGCACCGGCAATAGCCCGACGATATCTGGGCAATTCAGCCTGGTCGCAGCTGATCGTTGGGGGCTCGAATTTGGGCGAACTGATAGGTGCCTCGTTCGTGTTCTTTTTCACGAACCTCATTACCACCCCCATTCCATGGATCCGGCTTGATGCGGTACTGTTGTTGATAGTATGGTACTTGCCATTTTGGTACCCCCCGGCGGGCCAGGTTGGTTATGCCTGGATAGCCGGCGCCAGGTTTCTCCCCATATCTATCGGCTGGGCTGCCGGCGAT